AAATGCTCTAATCTTGACATTCAAATTGTTCTTGTTTGGATTCCTGAACACGCTGGCATTCCTGGGAACGCACAAGCACGTAGTTGGGATAAATGGGCGATTCATTCTGGTACCGTTACATATGATAAATGTTTTTCTCAAGACTTAGGCTCTCAGGTCAAGGTTGATTTACACAAGAAGTGGAATGCTTACTGGTCGTAAAAAGGCAAATACTATGCTGGTCTTCAAACAGAATACCCAAGAAACCTTGGTTTTTTTAATTGAAGCCAGTAAAAGAACTACTTCCACTATTATCCGATTGCGCCTAGGCCATAACTGCAGACCCACTTTTTTGCTAAGCTCAGGATAAGGGACCACTCCCTTTGTGAGTGTGGTCTTGAGGAAAGAACTCTTGACCATATGATTTTTAACTGTTTTTTGTATCCAGTCTCTTTATACGATCTTCTTCCAGATTCTATCCCTCGTCCCACAAATTTTTATAGTATTCTTTCTCCCTTTAAACCTCCTCTACTATTTATTCTATTTAAATCTATTGAACAAAATAACATACGTCTATACCATTTATTATGTGCCCAGCATGTTTTTACGTTTTGCTTACAAAGTAGTTAGTCAAATAACCTCGTGTTTTGTCTTTGTCCATAGGATGATAAAACCGATTATCGTCACTTGAGGGCGTTCCTGGCAATCTTGATGTAAACTGTGTATCTTTCAACCCGGACACTGGCAGAATTGTCCTCAGTGGGACAGAAGCCACAACAACACACAAAAAAATAGTATAGCACAGACTAACACGCGGTATGGTCCGTCTGTAAAACAGAAAATGTAGGATGTCCTGGGGAAAAAAATCTCTAGTTAGAGACAGAACTCACGAAGCGGTTTTGACCCGCGCCCGCTGCGGTTGCGGGACAGCTGTTTAATTTCAACACTCACGATACCGCAGATTGGTGCGGTCACGTAGCTACCGCGGTTGCGGAACGGCCCGCAAACTTGGCGGAAGAGGGTCGCAAGGCGCACGGTTATTTACGATGGATTGAGATCGTCAGTTAAGTCTCAGACGTCGCCATGGACTCACATAAAAAACGAGCTATCGCGTTATACTTACTTCATCGAAGAATTAAAAGAAGGCCTAAAAGATTCAGGGTGCATCCTCTGATTCCGGAAAGAAATCGTTACGGATTATTCGTTGTTCTTATTAATGAGTTAAAAAAACAAGAAAACAATTTTTTTAATTTTATTCGGAATAAGTAGATATGGACTATCTACTTATTCAGAACTTCTAAGAAAAATGGTAACAGGTAGGAAATTAATTGAACGACTTCAACATATACCATAACTTGAGACATTGACACGCGCTGACAAATCGAAAATCAATCACAAAATGGCGTGGGAAGGAAAGGCCCAACACGCGCGCGTGGAACGCGTCGCCCGCGAACCGCCCGCAGAGTGCGCGGGCGACGCCCGCCAAGCGCGCGGGAGACCGCGTCTCGCGCGGTTTGCGGCCGCCGCGAGCAACCGTCTCCGCTGCGGGCGTAAAACGCGTCGTGAAATTTGCTACTAAATTTTGCGTACATTTCTACATTCTTCGGAGGTCACGGTCACGAAACCGCGGCGGGCGCGTGTGAAAAGCCCTCCGTGAGTTCTTAACCTTAGAGGTTTAGTCAGAACTGCTGGTATCATCTTTTGCCCAAAAAGAATTTTGGTCTAATTGTCAGTCATTAAGTCAGTCTGTTTATGTGGCCAAGTCTGCAGGCCATCCAAGAAGGTTAGACACTGGGGTCTTAGCATTAACTCTTATTACAATTCAATTTAGGACCTAAAATAAATAGTTGTGAGACAGCACTATATGAAGTGTATATATCACCATCCCGCTTTTTGTTGTTACAAACCTATACTGAACTGTAATAAGAGTTCATGTTAAGGCCCCTGATTATCATAAGAAACTGGATGTAACAATGTTGGTTTCTGCAACACATTTTGTGTTGGTTAATAACTACACTGACTACATTTCTTTCCTTGAGCTACTTATTACACTACTTTCTTGACTTCAGCTTCAGTTTATTACAGTTTTAAGTAACATAGTCATGTCTTGCCAGACTTTTATTGCTGATTGTAAGCAAGAATTTGATTACAATCACACTGGTGGTGCTGCAAGTAATAATTTTATCAGCTCTTTTCAAAAATTTACAAAAGTTTTACTTACATTACTCTTCCATTGGTGATAAAGCTCATCAGAATCTTTGTAGTCAGTTTTATATACCACTTCTGCCAATTTGTTGAGAGTATCAAAAGTATGATCAATCCAGTTGACAAAGTACATTGGTGTGACAAAAACAGAGTCATCATTGCTGGATACTGGGTCTTGAGCATTGCTTAAGAGCTTCTCAATTTGTTGTAGTCGTGAGAAACACCAGGACAGCCTTTCCATTGTACACTGGCGACTTTCCTAAAAAATTAAATTAACAATATCTTGGAAATTAATCTAATTTTTTGGACCTAATTCTCACAATCTAAATACAAAATATGTTAATTAGATCAGAAAAATTTGATTTATTTTCAATGTGCAGGAATCACAAAAACCCAACAAGTCACATGACTAATACCTACTATAAATGACAATAACACTACCAAAATTAAATATTGTGTTCTGTCATTAAATGCAGGTCCCACTATATTTTCTATAGTTTTATAGTTCTACCATATCTTTCTATTTGTGGGTCACCCACATAATGCATGCTAAACCAAATACTATTGTAACTAAAAATTGTGGAATTGAAATTACAAGATGTGAAAGTTCAAATAATTACTGAATGGAACCAATAAATTCATATTCTTTATAAGTGGATAACTAATTGTTATGTATATGTAAAAATAATCCAATTATTCACAATAAGATTCTTTCAGTATTTTTTTAATTTTCAAATCGTGTTTTCTCAATTCCCCCATTCTTTTATATACGACTGTAAATACTGATGATGAAACCAAATGGTTTCATGTGCGGTAACTCTTTGGTACATACTAACCCATGAACTTCTTTGTAGATATACTTTTATTAGCCAACAACATACCAAATTGTGCACAACAAGCAAAGAATACAAAAAGTTTTACCTGCATGAAGGTTTCTTCGTGATATTCCTTTTTAAAAATATCAAACAATGTCTGCAAACATTTTTTTATCTGACTTGAACACAGCACATAGACATTCCGAAGCTTTGTTATTTCATCATCTGATAATGAACCGTTGTAACCACGGAGTTTGTCGCGTATATTCAGCAGTATTGGATAAATTCTACTGAATAAAATATCCTGTAAAAATGTATAATGTTTGCAGCTCTCACGACAAAGTTAAAAATGCTATACAGGTGCAGAAAAACACGGATTTGTACCACTACAGTTTTGGTAGCGCTTCGAGGATCGTCAGGTAACTCTGAAAAGTCCATGCTCGCATTACCATCCATTTTAATTTATTGATAAAAAAAATATTTTTACGAATAAGTTCAATATTTTCAAAGTAACATTTAACAACCGTTATATTTGTCATATCATTTCAAATTCAAAACCGCAATTTTTTTATGTTACCACTTAGTATTACCATATTACTTTGTCTTTCTTTCTACCATTCTATAACGATGTAAGTCGGTTGACAATCTTGTTGTTTACTTTCTGCGGTTGCTAACCTTTGCTAACTATATTTTGTTTAAATAATTAGTTAATTCATTCGGAATATTGTATTGTACTACAAAATCTTAAGCCGGATTTATTTACATTCGTCTGACGTGTCGTGTCGTGACGCGTCTCAGAACGGTATCGACTTCACTCATACAGCACAAGTCGTCACGTCAGATTGTGACACACTATTGACACTATTATAAATCTAACCATCCATACTAAATGTCTATCACCGATACCGTTCTGACGCGTCACGACACGGCAAGTCCGACAAATGTTAATCTGGCTTTAAAACATATCAAAGCATAGAGTACATTATACATAGCAACACACGAAAACGCGAGTAGCCGGGTTCTATCTGCTTTTTTGAAACATTCTTGTGTGATAGGGCCTCGTCCTGAAATAGAATAATACTAAAATAAAATAGATTTCGAACCAGTTTAATGACAATCGAGTACCGAGCTTTTTTTATAATCACAGATTACTATCTGTGATTATAAAAAAAGCTCGTGTCTTTAGACATGGGGAATAGCGTTACATTTCTATCGCCGTGACTGTCGTTCCGGTTCCAAAAAAATCACGGCGATAAATCACCGTGATTTTGTCATGAATGTTACTTCCGTCACCTTGTCACGCCTATAACTTACATCACGATATACGGTTTTAGCCAGCGGCTTCTTTTTAATACTTATAGCCATTTTTTATAGAATGATTTAAGTTTTTACTCCCTTTGTAATAAGTTTCAATTCCATTCAAAAAGTTGATTTTGTATTTAATGTAATTTTGTTTGTTACTTATTTGATGCGAATCTTTGCATTGTTAAAAATAGCAATAAAGTGTAATGTAATTATATTTCTAGTAGAATACACAAAGTAGATTATACATAAATATAAAATACCAACTCTTCCTATAATAAAAACAAATATACAAAAATATGTTACTTTGTTAATAAATAGGTTTATAGTAACTGCTGCAGATTTTTTTTCATCCGCCCTTTCTAGTTGTAATAAGCACCTACGACCTTTGTGAGTGAGCAAAGAAAGTCATCTTATCTCACTCACTCCCATCGCCGAAATGGCCCGATTTGAAGAGAACTACGACGAGTGGCGCGCTCAGTCACCACGGAACGGAGATCGCGCATTGTATCAAATACGTATGTCGTGATGTGAGTGACGGGGATAGCCATTGGAACAGAGGAGCACCTATGTGACTTTGGAACGTCGTTCCTTCGGAACGAGTCACGGTGATGCTGTTTGACGGCGGATCATCGTGATTTTTTCATCGTGACGTTATTTATCACCCACCTCTACCTGTCTTGCTTTGACAGTTGTCAATTTGTCATGTCACGAACGCCATTGCAATTGTATTGCATTTCGATTTGGGTACTTTGGGATTTGTAATTTCTTAGGCCTTTGATTAGGCACTATTACTGTAATAAGTACAAAAATATCAAAGCGCGATGAGTGAATTGGTATGGGGCATTAAAAATGGTGATATAGACCAAGTAAAAGATATTGTAGAAAACAAGGTGAGTGCGCCGGGTGATTTTATCGTTGTTGTTTTTGCAAATGATTCATGAAAATTATGAGACAAACTTTTATAAACTCTCGTTTTAAAAATTGATTGTTATCTTTAATTGTGCGGCTAAAACTTTCATTTCGCCAAATACAACGAAATCATGATACACGGATGAGTGAGCATAACTGCAGTATGAAAATTTTTAAGTTCTATTATTTGCATGAAATTATTTTACTAGGTACTATACAGATAGCCACTGCCAAATGTGACACAGTAATGCTCAAAAAGTTCATTTTAGTAGATAATTGACTACAAAGACAGTATTATTTGGAATTTTAATCGATGTAAACACTTTTTTTCTTATTCAGAAAATTGATGTAAATGCTCTGATCGACGGCCGCGTCCCACTCCATTATGCAGCTGACTATGGACAAACTGTAGTCCTAAACTACTTATTGGACAAAGGAGCAGACCCCAATGTAAGAAATACCAATAAACTTAATAAGCACTTTATTACAAAGAAATATTCATTTCCCTGGTATCAGCACTTAAAATCAAGTTAAACAATACTTAGATTATTTATTTTTTAAATATTGTTTCCATATGCTTTAATATATGGTTGTATAATTTGGGAAACTATTATGAAATGACAACAAAGCTTTAATTGACTAGCAGACTAATTACTTGTGTGTCATTATCAGATGATTGATAAACATGGCATATCAGTGCTGCTGGCTGCCATATGGGAAGGTCACACAGACTGTGTAAAAATGTTACTCAAAAATGTAAGTATTTCGTGAAATATCTCTCTCTAATTTTATGAATTACTCTTGTAGCAAATGTAATTCAGTCATTTACAAAGCTTTGTTTGGGTGTTAAACAACTGGCAAGGAGGGTTATTTTTTAAATAAAGAAATTTTGCTTTCTCATGGGATTTTGACCAATTTAATGTTTTATATCTTAAAAACTTATTATCTGTTGCATTATAGGACACAAAAACAATAAAACACTACTGTTTAGTGATATAGCCAGACTGTACAGCATGAGGCTTTCAGTAACGGTGAAGGCAAATAATCATACCTGTTAAACCCAGCCTTATATAGATCTGTCTAAATAAGCTTTTTTATTCCTTAGGGTGCTTCTAGAGATGGAAAAACCCCAGATGGTACACCATACCTCGAAGCTGCAGAGAAAGATGAAATCAAGGAGTTATTGACAAAAATATAATGAATTGTCAAATGTTTCAGAACTTGTATTGTTGTAATGCTAAGATGCAAACGTAGATCAAACATAAAATTAATCTTTATATTGTCTATTTTTACATGCATTTATTTAGATTGCAATGAATTATTTTTATATGCTCGAGATTTAAAATCAACCTAACATGTATTTTTATTGTGCGTCCATTTATAGTATTTATTTCAACTATTACTGAAGGCCTGGGTCAATTGAAATCTTTTTGTCAGATGTTTAATTAGTCTGGTATTAGATTTTCGCGTAGTCCATTTCTAAAATTAGCATATAAATTATTTAATCATAAGGTATGTAATTCCAAAACTTCAACTAAGATGTAATTTTTATTGCTTAAATAATAAACTGATGGAAATCAACAATTTTATTTTATTTGTGAGAAATATACAAAATACTTATAATAATATATAGCGATGCTGTAAATACAAGCACATCAGCTAAATTTGTTCTTACTATAAATAACATTCCTTATAAAATCATTACAGTACAGTAATTACGCACATTCAGGATTTCTGAACATTAATAACTATCCTTTTGATGAAACAATAATACAAACAAAAACAACACAACTATTATCACAAAAACAAATAAGCTCATATTAGCACAATACAAAGATCATCAATTTGGCAACTTAAAATTGCAAACACTGTTTGTTTAATTTTAAAAGCACGTCAAGCTCGACACTGACACAAATGTCGCCAGTAGTGCAACAAGATTGTTCCATTGTTAAACTTGATGTGCTCACAGTGTCACCTACTTGTACTAAAATTGAGAAAATAACTCCAATATAATTATTATGATTTAACTGATTATAGTTCCCCATCTCCTGGGTATTTTTTGTATTTGTTCTTTGGTGGTGCACAATAACAGGCATTTTTCTGTGCATCCAAGTAAGATTTGCATCCCAGGGTTAAAGTACCAGTGAACAAAAGTTTTGCTGCTGCTTTGCAACCTGTAAGATAGAAGTGAATCTTTTGTAAAGAAATACATTTTGTGGCAAATTTGAATAAGGTAAAGGTTTATTGAGAGTTCCACAAGTGTGCAGATATAATTAGTCCATGGACAATCATCTCTTTGGACAATTGATTCATCATTTTTTCTGCCGAAAAGGTCCACTGCTGATCATAGGTCTCCAAGGTCTCAAAGAACGCCACAACAACCTGTCTTGTGCTGCTTACATCCAGTGGATTCCCACAACCTTCACCATATTTATTTTATTCACAAAATTTAATTTACCTGAAAATATTTTGTTTTTAATTTTAAAAATTAAAATTATTTTATTTACCTTTAGTAATTGTATCTGCAGCTATATTTGTAGACTTATATGTATCACAGTAGTTATATAGGCACCTCTTGAAATCCAAATCGCAAACTTCCTTGCCATTATTGCATGTATCATAACAAATATCATGGGCATCACAACATTTTGTCATTTGTTCAAGTGGTAGATATTCAGATGCAATTTGAAAGCCTAGAGAACCACAGCCATCAGATTTTGGTACATGATTTCTGTTACGTACTGGTTTTTGACCTGTAATTTTTAAAATTAAGAATAATATTGCACATTTATGTTATTGAAACTAGTAAACAATCAGACAGTCTACCTGGGCCCTAAACAATTAATGATACAATCATTGACTTACAAATAAATGGACGACGGGTCTAATACAAAAACCACGAAAAAAATGTCCCAAATCAACCTATTCGAAATTTAAATTGTAATGTCATCGCAGTATCGTGCTGTCAGTAGAACAAATGAAGACTAAAGCGGAGTGTCGCTCTCTGTATACGATTTTAGCGCCTTACAAGTGCGGACACTTTTTAGTGCGGACCCGACGTCCATATAATTGTAAGTCAATGGATACAATTAACATTTTGCTATTAAAGGTGACAAGTGTACTTGCTACAAGATCAAAATTTATAAATTTGTATAATTGTGTATACAAATTTATAAATTGGTATATTTCTGTTTACTAAAGGTTTTTTATTTCACTGCAGACAATTTACAAAATTTGTCAGTAAAACTCATTTATTCAAAGTAATATTGGAGTTACAAGTTTACATAATACAAATCAATCAAGCAACATAATACAAATCATAATATTCTCAAAATTTAGAAATTGTTTAAATATTAATAGATGCAGGTAATATAGTAATTTTGTTGTTAATCTCCATTGCATCCAAGTAATAAGTAGTAAGTTATAAAAAAATATGATAAACCATGTAAATTCAAAACCAATAACCTTTTATTCCTACCCTCATTTAGATAACTTAAAACCTGCCTATGATGACACCATGTGAAAACTACACACATTTTGAAGTTCTATAGAACTGGATTTATAAGCGTAATTGTCAACTATATATTGCGTCACCTCCTAAAAAACAACACACATACAAATTTTATATTTATGTAATTTTTCACAAAATTATCAGATGTAACATTTATTGTACAGGGCCACACATAACATTTTTGAAAATTATTTAAGGTTTTGCAACGTTCAAAAGGGTTTGGATCTTCGTACTAAAAATTAAAGTGTTGTAGATAAAACAATTTACATCTCCGAGAAAAATAAAACTTACAAAGAGGCATGTAATCTTTTTAACTTACCTTCAGGACAAGTAAATATGCATTCTTCTTCAACAGCTGCGTCAAACACTTCATGAAGAGAACGAAATCTTTCAGCGACTGTTATAACATTGCGAAACATATCCCCAAACACTGATTCCGCCGACAACACCGCATCTTTTAAATTTCGCAGCATACTTGAGCCAAAGCCTGTGTACGCATAAGCGATAAAGGTTAGGAGGTAAATAAATATCTTCTTGTATGGAATCTCCATCTTTCTAGATTTATCCAGATGGGATAAATAATATCATCTTCTAAATTCTCAAACCAATGCTCTAAGACCACGTATTTTTCGTAAAAAAAAATTATATTTTGATTGAGTAGGTATTTTTAAATGACATCCACCATAACATCTGTTGTGTCTGTCAAAAATAGATTATATTCATTTTGTGGAAAAAGGATCATGGTACGAGCAAATTCTATAATGTATATTGTATTTCATTCATTTAAGAACCTGTTTACGCTATAGATTTAGAAAAGCGCATTCTTCAAACCGTAGATAATTTTTACTTTTTTCGTTTTTTACCATTTGTTTTAAAAAATGGCAACATCTATACACGAATATCCGGTAGCCATATTGTTTAAAAAAACTAGTCTTTTCCGTTTTGTTGTCGAGAAAAATGACGGGCTTTAGCAATAAGGTGAGAAAATAATGTAAAAAAATTATTACAGTACATTAAAATTAATAAAAATATGAAGTCTTGCAATCGAAAATAATTTAAACCATCACTTTAACTTACAAAAGTCCCAGTAAACATAGTGTTTCTGTACAAGAAAGTACACGTGCATGCGTGCCTTGATGTTATTCAGTATCTAGAGAGTAGGAAACAATAAAAATTTATTAAAATCATGCGTTATACAGTCGTTTAATCGAAATTTAAGATAATTGTTACGTTGTAGATGAAGTTTTCACATGTTCAGTGTAGTGAAATTTGAGGTTATGTATGCGGTGATTGAAAACTAAAATCAGTGTCGTTTACATTACAGGCCATAGTTATCGATGGCCGTGGCCATCTGCTGGGCCGCCTGGCCGCAGTCATTGCTAAGGTCCTGCTGGAAGGAAACAAAGTTGTAGTTGTCCGTTGCGAGCAGCTCAACATCTCTGGGAACTTCTTCAGGTAACCTCACATTTTTATCTCACACATAGTATTAGCCTTTTTAGTAACAGTCTTTACCAATACTGATGCATTTTGGTGGAGGAGGAGATAGGCAACTTTTTGTTACAAAAATAAATCTTAAAAGGGCTGAATGTTTGTATGGAGAACCAATAAAAGTATGAAAATTAATAATATTACTATATACAGTAGTAGTACACAGTAGGCTACTCGTACTTATTCTAGCCATGCAAGTGAAAAGGCGTTCACCAGCTGCTACCATATAAATTTCATAACATAGGAAACAAAAATGATGTTTCATTTTGGGTAATTTGCGACTGAATGTTCAAGCACATGTTGCGATGATTTCTATCTGATTTTTTAGGTATATTCTCATTTACTAACACAGTTATTATTATCAAATTGAGCAAAGATTGTATGTTTTAGGAACAAGTTGAAGTTCATGTCATTCCTACGCAAGAGATGCAATGTGAACCCAGCTCGTGGGCCATTCCATTTCAGAGCACCCTCTAAGATTCTGTGGAAGACTGTTAGAGGTAAGTTATGCTTCTTTGTAAAAAAATAATTCATTTATGGAACTCACACTTGACCAAATAATTGACTATATTATATTAGACAACATCACATTTGTTGCTCTGATCCCAAAGTAAGTAGCTAAATCACTTGTGTTATGGAAATCGGAAACAACAACAGTACCACAAACACCCAGACTTGAAAGATTATAGAAAAGAAAATACAGTTTTCTACAATGACCCGGCCAGGGTAGGCAAGCCACTCAACCACAGAGGCTTTAATTTGCTTTAAAATTTATATTTATTTTGTTTGTTTATATAATTTAATTTGTTTCGTTAAAATGGCTGCATGCCGTCATAGAATTAATAATGTGACAAAGATCTATGAATTTTGTTATTTGGCAGAGGAATGACTTCACTGCTGAGTATCTAAAAAGCTACATTTGCTACAATGTAGAAAATGTGATCTACAATATTGATGTAAATTAATTTGTATTTATTTAGAAAGAAGTATATTAAAGCAACATCTTTAATTCATTGCTAGAAGAAAGGGTGTAATAAAGATATAAATCTTATTTCACTTAAATTTTTAATGATTATTCAACATATACCTACATTATTTGATGTCTGTGATAAAATAAAATTTATGAAGCCGTAATCTCCAAAAACTCTAAATCTCACCGATCTACTTCTCTAACAAAAGCACCAATGTACTACCTCAGGAATGATCCCACACAAGACGGAACGCGGGAAGGATGCACTGAGAAGGCTCCGTGCGTATGACGGCTGCCCTCCACCGTATGACAGCCGCCGCCGCGTCGTTGTGCCTGCTGCACTACGAGTATTCTGCCTAAAACCTGGCCGCAAGGTATTTTTCCATTCAAAATGATTTCATTTATTTACTTTCCATTGGTGAACTCTCTTATATATATTCTAATAATAATAGTACTGAGAAATCAACATATCAATATACTACCGGGTACTACAATTATGAAATATACAGTTGTATACCAAGAACTTGTGACAGACAATGAATTTACATTAAAAATGTAACCAGTTCCGTACCCTATGGGTTAGATGAATAATATGCTGCTCTGCCAATCAACATATGAAAACATTCTGTAAATCTTTAACAAATTGTGAAATTTTTTAATAATGATGAATTCATGATTTGGTAATTTGCGACTGAACCAGTAATGTTGCAAACTATGTGATTCTGAGATTGCAATTTTTTTTGTTTTTAATTTTAATTATTGTCAAGGCAATTGTAGGCATTCCTGTGTTATTGATAACTTTTGTTATGTTTTCAGTACTGTCATGTGGGCAGACTATCGCACGAGGTCGGTTGGAAGTACCGCGATGTCGTCCGCAAACTTGAAGACAAGAGAAAGTTCAAGGCCATTCACAAAGTTGCTTTCGACAGGAAACTTAAGGTTTGTGTATATTATGCTGCATCAGGACTCCTAATTTAGAATAAAAATGGCAAAGAAGAATCAAGAATACCATGAAATATCTATCCAAAATTGGTATACACGTATCACTTGAGCGAATGTTGATATGAGTAGAATCAAAACGTAACAACTAATGAACGACATCTTGGATTGTGAAATTTGACATTTTGTTGTCGAAAGTCTATTGAAAGAACTGTCAAAATTTTTGCAGAATACATATGACTTGACGTTTAATGTCCTATTAGAGCTCAGCGAATTTTTTTTTTGTTTCGTTTTTTTTCTTTCAACCGTGACATTGGCAAAATCATCATTTCTCATAATGATGGAGCCATAAAAATAAAAATTGACAAGTGACTAGAGTCGATTTAAGTTCGATTCGTATACCAGAATATTCTTTAACGACACTTGGATTGAACGACTTAAAATTGGACTCGTTGAAGTTCCTGTCACACGTGAATACTAAAAAGCAGTTCAACGACTAAATCGCTACGATATCGTAACGGTTGGATTACGTGAATCACCCCCATGCTAGATGCAACTGCCTACATTTAGCCTCTTTGGTCTGCAATTTATTAAACAGTACTCACTCAGCATACACTGCCTACAGTAAATTATTGTAATGATGAATAAATTTTATTTACCTACATTATTTGATGTGCCATGATAGCAACTAATATACTGACTCCAAAACTAATTGCATCAACTTGTTTTTTAAGAAACTTGAACGTAATCTATTTTTTTTTTTTCATTTTTAGAGAATCACCAAGGAAGCAGGCCAGAAGGTAGCGAAATCGACGGCTTCATTCACATCCGTCATCCAATCCTATGGATATGCTTAGGATTAAGAAATTTATTTAAAAATAAACCATTTGGTTGCCCAATTTTTGTTTTGTTTTCTGCTAACCCGCTTGTTTTCTAGTAACAAAACTGTTATAGCGCACGTTTTCTTACTAATGTCATGGGCCGATAACTCGAGATGCTAATCCCCATACTACAGATCGTAACTTTTAAAAAGGTCACAAATCTCGTCTTAGCACGGTTACACAGGGCGAGTTTTAGCAGCGATGCTAACGCGCGGTTGCATCGCTACAGTTGCGATTTATAGGCGATTGCAGCGATAGAAATGCATTTTGCATCGCTGCTTAAAATCACGGCGATTAACGACTGCATCGCTGCTAAAAGTCACCGTGTGTAACCGCTCCTATATCTAGGTGGCGCTGATTAATAGCCTGGAAGTAGTTTATAATCACTGACATATCTAGATAGACGTCGCAAGCACCGCAAGTACAGCAATTTGTATGAAAACCAAGCGTGCCACATTTTTTGCACCCACTATGACGTCACAGGCACTGTTTAGTGATGGAAACCTTCCGCTCGCTCTAAATCGATTCTAAATAGAATAATTTTTGTTCAAGTATTTGTTGATTGCAAGTACTCGTAATATTAATATAGCAGAAAAATACTAGAATAAGAGAGTAAGTCCTTTATTTTACTAGTTTAAAAAATATATTTGATTACTTAAAAAAAGTAAGACTTCAATTTTTAATCGAAAGAAAATTAAGACTTCAATTTTTAATCGAAAAAAATTAAGACAAATTTTTAATCGACTTCAAGTATTAAAATTATTGTCCTTCCAATAAAATCAGCTCATTATACATCTTTTTGTACTTTTGTTCTTATCGATTAACTTAAATAATGAAAACGCACATCAAATACATGCACTGCAAATGCCCTAATTAATTTTACTAGATGGTTTTCTGTTGGTAATTGATCAAATTGATGAATGGCAAGACAAATGAAAATGTTACTGCTGACAAAATATGGTAAAATCTTATTAATCAGAAGAAGTTTACTTAATGAAGGCCTCATGTGAAATTTTGGTGATTTCTTTATTATTTCTCGGATTTATAACTCTGCTACTATGCATAATTGGATAGCATCTTAAGTGGGATAAACTAGACCACCTTCGTCCTCGAAAGCAACGAACTCATACGTATGACCAACTCCAGATTTTCGTAAAGACAGCGCACTGTTAATTCTTTGCATTATATATATTTTTTTATTACTCGTACTACATATCCGGCGATGTATATAATTATTTGCTCACTATATTCGGACATTCGAGGCAACGTTCTGCAAAAATTATCGAAATTACAGTTAACAGGTACTACAAAACTGAAAAAACAAAACGAAACGTCCAAAAACGTTCAAAAGACTTATAGAACATTTTTATGATATTGCTAAGATCATAATAATTTTGTTCCTTTCTTTTCAAAATATATTGCCATTTATGAAATATTAAGGGAGATTACTCAGGACGAAAAAGGATTTTGTTTGTTAGCTGCGTAAGTAAAGCACGGATAGATTGATGGTATGGCATTGAAATATTGTAAAATTATGTCGCTAGATGGCATTTGGTTTAATTTTCTCAACGTACTCTAATCCAAAGTGAAAAAAAGTTCGTTATAATTTTAGCACCTTTATTCATTCATTGCTATAATTATTTTTTAATTTATCGTTATAATTTGAGCTATATATTATATTAACCATCTCTAGCTCTGAAGTGTAGCAGCGGCAAGTAAGTGATTTTCACTTACTTTGGGCACGCGAAGTACGTACACTTGCGGCGTCTATCTAGATATGTCTGTGTTTATAATTGCAAATAGCCGTGGATACCAATAAGTCTTTTGTTGTAAGCAGTTTTTTCCTTGTAATTATTCAAGTATTAACCGTGAGCTTCAATTATTTACTGAACTTTGACAAATATGCGCATAGTGTAGATGGCATATGTGTTACGAACGTAATTTAAATATTACCTGCTTGCTAAAGTAGGTAGATGGCGCTAATCCTAAACAAAATAAAAGAATAACCGGCAGCATCCATAACTTTTTTGCTTTTTCTTATTTCTCTTGATTTTTCGTGGTAAGCGTTTTAGAAAGGCTTCTAGCACAGACCACATAAATACTGCGTCTACTGTAAAATGAAAAACAATAGGTAATTTGTCTGAGCTACCGAGGTACACAAATAATTTAATTTTTTTAAATAAAGTTTTCATTTATGAAAAATCAATGACAATCGACAGTTAGGGCGCATTTATTCGACACGTATTGAAATACGATGAATCGCGCTCTCTCCGTTATCGCCGTGCAGCGACCTTTTTTCCATCCTCTAAGGCGACCGCGTGCGTCTAACTCATGGCAAAATACGTGCTGTCATTTGTTTAGCTTTTACGTTTTAACTTAAATGAGCGTCCTGATAAGGCGGACGAGCCTGACTTGAGTTTGGTCTACGAGGAGGCCCGCGCGGTATTATTCAGAGGAATTTAAATATTGTCGCCTAGTAAATAGAATTCAGATTCGCCATTAATGTACATGAAGGCGTAGCAACTGGGCGGACGCCGCGCGGCGTCCGCGCGAACGCTTTCGCCTCGTAAAACTAGGCGCTTATGGATTTTGTAATTAACTCCTTTTTTACATAGATGCGGCCTTTTTTTTATGCTGCTTTCAGATCCTATTAAAACTTGATAAGAAAATAAACATTTATAAGCTTTTTGTTTTCTAGAGGGGTAGAAAGTATTTACTAATGTAGTAATGCAGGATTATGAATGTAGTCGCAGCGTGCAAGCCATCCTGCAATCCTGCAATGCGTCTTGCGAGGATTTATATACGTGGGTTATATGCTCCTGCGTATGTGAGGAGTTTCCTGCCTGCGCGGCAGACTGCCATGTAGGTAGTGAATGGGCCGTTTTAGATAGTAGGTACGGGGCGGATGCTGACGAATGCGATGCGATGCGGAACGGGCGCGGCGGGAATATACATGTGGATGATGTTAAACAATTTGTCAATTCCAACCAGTGTATAAATTCAACTATATGCCACTCGTAAGAATTGTGTATAAAGTTCTGCGTGTTATACGTAGGGCGCGCTATAAGTTTCCGGAACTGGCCACTTACATAAACAATATTTAAAAAGTAATCACAACAGAGAACACAGGCGGAGACTGAAAAACAGCACTATGCTGAGGCTTCGTCCTTTTCATTACTCATTGCCATTGACGTACAAATAAATGGACGATGGATCTAATACAAAAACCACGAAAAAAATGTCCCAAGTCAACCTATTCGAAATTTAAATTGTTACGTCATCGCAGTATCGCGCTGTCCGTAGAACAAATGAAGACTAAAGCGGAGTGTCGCGCTCTGTATACGATTTTAGCGCCTTACAAGTCCGGACACTTTTTAGCGCGGACCCGACGTCCATATAATTGTAAGTCAATGCTCATTGCTCATAATTTATTAGAACATAATATCGTATGATTTTCTACGTATGTGTGTGTATGTGTGCGTGTGTGTGTGTGTGTGTGTGTGTGTGTGTGTGTATTATATATATTGTGGTTGTCTGGCATATTATTACTGTAGTCTAGGCTCTACTCTATGAGTAGAAATACTGGCTGAATGAATATAGGTTTGTGTTTGGAATGTATTTAAAAAAATAAGATAGAAAAAAGAGGAGGACCTTGGAAATTCTAGACTGAGGGTTGTGTTTTAGAACTCTACTCAATGCTCAAGTCAGGATTGCTATTGAAACACAAGCACTGGAAATACGACCCTAATGGCAAGGACTTGAGTATGATTTTCAGTGCTCACTGCAATACTCAAGTCCTGACTTGAGCATTGAGTAGAGTTCTGGAATACGACCCTAAGAGTCGTATTCCAAAACTCTACTCAATGCTCAAGTCAGGATCTGAGTATGATTTGAAGCACTGGAAATACGACCCTAATGGAAGGGACTTGAGTATGATTTCGAGTGCTTTAAACCATACTCATACCTTCAAATCATACTCAGATCCTGACTTGAGCAATGAGTAGAATTCTGGAATACGACCCTAAGATTCCAAATTGAATATACGTTTGCAGTTATATTTATTAAATAATCGTCATTTCTCTTATAAAAGTATCTCTCGCAAAGCTACCTGAGCTACGTCCAGGCTATATTACTCACTTGAACTATGAAGGAAAATGTCGTGACTAAGCGTGTGGGGAGCTAGGTTTTATAATTAAGCTTCTCCATAAGTCTCCCCCTGTGCTCAGAAATGTATACGAGGCCATTCGTCTATGTACATCTCCGCCAGTTTTGTAAGAAAAAATGTTAGTAAAGCAATGTAATACTTACGGCGCACTATAAGTTTCCGGAACTGGCCACTTACATAAACAATATTGAAAAAGTAATTAGAACTTTTGGAAATGTAACTCTTTGGCTGTAGAATATAGAATGTTTCATCCGACTGCCACTTGTTTTTACATTGTGGCGTCATTTTAGAAATTGGTTATCTACATCACCATGGATTTAACTCGTGAAAATTTTCGTAGTCTGATTTACTACTACTTTAAGTGTAATTTAACAGCTCAGCGGAGCTTCGCTCGGCTTCAAACTGCTTTTGGCGTTGAAGCACTATGCAAGAAGACTACTTAATATTAGCTGGTTTGCAGAATTCAAACGCGGTCGTGTGAATCTCAGAGACGAACTGTACGTGATGGTCGCCCGTCCACTGCTGTGATGTGAACAACAAAAACATCGATGCTGTGCGCCGTATGATCAAAAGAGACAGGCATGTGACATACCATGAGATTCGGGCATCTTTAGGCATAGGCATGAGTCAAATACAATCAATACTACACAAACATGTGGGTGTGAAAAAGCTGTGCTCTCGGTGGATCCCACACAATTTGACTGAGGATCAAAAAACCGATCGCGTCACATGGTGCAATGTCATGCTTACCAGATTCAACGAAGTGGCGTCAAATTTGGGGTAGGATATAGTAACAAGTGACGAAACATGGATTTATAGTTACGATCGACCAAACAAAGTGGCGCGCGTACAAAGTGACTCTAAACGGATGATTGCTTCTTTTTTTAATAAAACTGGACACGTGGCTACTGTTGCTTTGGAGAATAGTTGTACCGTGAATAGTGATTGGTACACGATCATTTGTTTGCCGGAAGTTATTGACAAACTCTGTAAAAATAACCGTAAACGCCGCATCATCTTGCACCACAATAATGTCAGTTCTCACACAGCCAGACAGACAAATGAATTTTTGAAGGTGAACAACGTTGACCTTATGAGCCATCCCGCGTATAGTCCCGAACTGGCACCTTGTGACTTTTATTTATTTCCAAAAATCAAGAACCAGTTACGCGATCAATGATTTTCATCACCTGAAGAGGCTGTCGAAGAGTATGATAAATATGTTTCAGAGATTGTCATGGAGGAGTGGCATACATGTTTTCAAAATTGGTTCTTTCGTATGAAAAAGTGCATTAACAATAAATTCATTTCTGACCATTTATAGTATTTTTTCCTTATTCATTCCAGAAACTTATAGTGCGGCACACGTAAACTAGATACCAGATTTTTCTAAGCCTCTTTGAGGTGATGCTATATTTACGATATACGACATTACAGGAATCTAGGCATATGCCTAGTTAATCATAAAAGAAGGACAATCTAATAACAAGTAATCCCCTGCCTGCAGAGTTGTTCCTCGAACGCGACAACTAGGGTCTTTCAACGCGATAATGAATAGGCATTATTTAAGCGTGATTGCTACATCGACGACCTCATCGTCGCTTTCCATCGGGTTAGGTAGAGGTATACGCACTTACTTTCGAATAAAAAAGATCTGTCAATACGGTGGCTCAATTGTTTGTACTGTGGAGGCTTGAAGAAGAGGTCCCGGTTTCAGTTCCCGGTAGGACAAATTTAAAAAGTGAACTTTTCTAAATTGGTTCTGGTCTAGGTGTTTTGTATACCCATAACACATGGAATTATTATGGGTATTATTATATCTGTTAAGAAGGTCCGTCTTATCCATGGAGCAGACTCAGAAACTCGAACTATATTATAATAACCGATTTCTTATGAAACCTTAAAGTAGACGAACTTCTTCTTTCTGTCGTTTAAGATATAGATAAAGAACTATGCTCTCAAAATAGAGCCCTAAATTTTAGCTATTTAGTAGGAAAAACTAAAATAATAATGTGACAACCCTACGCTTTCACTGAAGTGCAGCACAGGTGCAGTGCCAAATAGGCGCGGAAATATGGCAAACATTGTAACAACATTTATAGGTACAATTCTAGATTGAAAAATCGTACACAGAACTAGTGGGAGAGAAAATTTGCAGTAGTTCTGTGAAGAAAACTGTTTATATATCAACAGAACAAATGGTGAGAAAAGTAGGTAGGTACCAGTTAGTTCTGTCAACAGAGTAGTTCTGCGAAGAAAACTGTATTTCTTAACAAAACAAATGAGAAAAACAGTACCAGTAGGTCTGTCCACAGAACTGTACAAAAGAACTAGTGGGAATAAACAATTTAGCCTGTACCAGGTCAGGAATTAAGTTTGTGAGATAGGTACCAGCAGGGTACTCGTAGGATACAAATTAGTTACGTCTTTGAACCTATTTTATATAGGAAATACTTCGTAATAACTGGGAGCGTATTGACGTCATAGGGTTTCAATTTACGGATCCAATTTATTACTTCAGCGGGTTCAATCAGATAATTATTTTACACGCGCGACAAATTTTCTTGTGCAGCTGCGACCGCTGATAACGTTGCGGGTATACTTCGAACATAGACTAAAATATTCTTGGTGCTTGAACTTGTTTGGGAAAATATGTATAGTCTTCCTATTGATCTTCAAAATCATACCGTAGCTTTCGTCTGTCGTTCATGTTCACTACAGTGAACTAACTTTAAGGTAAAAGGTAACCTTTCGGCGGTTTAGGACTACAATGAGAACTAACAACATCTTCTAATAACCACTTCTACAAATGACCACTTCTTGAAATGGCTATTTCTTGCATTGACCACTTTTACAATTCAATATGTTTCGGCTTCGGATTAGGAACATTACCACAAGTTTGATGATGGACCTTTAAGTATATGCTTTAGATATTGCTTATTATCGCCCTGTACGATAGCGCCTCTCCGTCCATCGCAACTGACAAAAACAGGCAAAAAAACCATTTCATATATTTTTTTATTTAATACAACTACGTGGTTGTACCTACACGTGTAGTTGGAGGAAGCAAAATGGTATGTCTCGGCATGGTCCTAAATTTGCGGAAGGGTCTAAAAATAGTAAAAAACCAATTTATAAAAAATAAAATGGTCATTTCAAGAAGTGATCAATGCAAGAAGTGGTCAATTTGAGAAGTGGCTTTTTAATTGTGGTTATTTCTTATTGTGGCCCTAAACCGCCGAAAGAAAATTTTGCCTTGAACTTCCTTGTGCAATCACATGACATTCGCGACACAACTCACGATTCTATTATTGAACAGAATCTATTTTATTGCCTGATTTGAATTCAGCATCGTTTCGTAAGCATTTATTTCCTATGCAAGAGAATATGAAAAATATATAACACTAGGTACCTAACCTGACAAAGAGCAAAAAGTATCTTTCTTTACACGTTATCTTAGCGGCAAAATGAATAGTTAAATACCTATTTACATTATTTCAGTAATTTATTAATAGAGACTCTTTGGTCTTCAAGTATGAAAAACAGTAGATCCCTGTAAACTGGACTTCTGTGTGGGTGTAGAAAATTGAAAGCGTTCTAGCGCTTAATAGTCGTTCAACCATTACTTACCAGTATAAAAGGAGTGGCTACCGCCATTGTTCACAGTACGGAAGCAACCTTTCTGAGGTCTACTTCTACCTTTGACTCGCGAAAGAAGGACGCTCATAATAAGTCTCAGCAGTTACTATGCATAACTGGCATTTACCGCTATTTGCGTTTCTTGCATTTCTTCACCCAGTTGTGTGCTTCTCCGAGCACAGTCTTGTTGATGGACGGGAACAGCGTTGCTACAGCAATAACTTACTGCGCGATAAGCGGCTACCCTATGGAACAGTCTGTTTCCAAAAATCCGAAGACAATCGCTTAAATAACAGAGCTGAAATACGTAAAGATCGACGACATGAAGTAAAAAGAGACGTCTCTGAACTCACTAGGTTTGCAAACAGAAGACTCGGCGACTTACGATCGGAGAGTGAAGCAAGCCGCAATTCTCGTGAAGTTGCTGACCGATTGTCACGATCTGGAAATCAGCAGGTGAGGCTAATAAATGTTCTACGGCAACGATCATTGCCCACTCTCGAACTTGGGGTACGACAATTCTCTCCAGCCATTCGTAGAACTGTTTCAAAGGATATTGATCGTGATCAACGCCTTCAAGATATTGTGCGGCAGCGTGAGTCAAGAGACTTCCAGACACGATTGTATGAACGTGACAACCGAGAACACAGGTTATCTACAGTTAACAGCAACAGAATGGTGCGCAATTCAGGCGACGAAACGAGGCACACAACTCCATACGACTCGTGGCGTGATAGTCAGAGAATCAGAGTTGGAGAAGTTGTTAACGAATTCCGGAGGATACGCTCAAGAGAGACGCGCGATTTAATCCATAGAACAAGAAGTGATATAGGACACTCTGAAATCTCTAGAGAACGACGCGAAATCAGGGAAAGAATGGATGAACGCCGCGTATTTAGCCTACAGCCCGGTTCCCGACTTCAACGCGACACTATGCGAGAACACCGGTCTCTGGAGCGCGAGGTACCAGATAGTAGAGACACCAGACTTCCGTCCTTAGTCTCAAGAAGTGCTGATCGCATTCGTAGTATTAGGGACGAAACGAGTTCACGTTTACGAGAAGTCCGTAACGAAAGGCAACGTGTTGACTCCAGAATTCTCGCTGAAAGGATAAGTGACCGCCGCCAATCACATCTATCAAACAGGGAAGTCAGAGATAAGTTTGAACGCGAACGTCGCGACAAGACTACAACAATCCATCTAGACTCACGAGAAAGGATGTCAGAGGAAAGACGACCTAACCGAAACTCTGTAGATCGTGTACGAAATATCGACAACAGGGACACGAGACTGGAGCGCTTTGCCAACCGCAGGGATTCTAGAACGTACGAAAGAGTAGCTCGAGTGTATCGTGATAATAGAGTAGCTTCAGAAAATCGACTAGAAAGCAGCACAATGAATCAAGAAATTCGGCAAGATGAAAATATCCTCAGCCGAAAGGATCGCCGATCTTCTGATCGTATGGTGATTCGTGACATGAAACGCGCAACTCGTAGTGGATCTACCGAAGCTAGAGAGCGTGACACAACTCGTATTGAGCATAGGATGACAAAGAATATGGAGCGAGGTGATATGGATTCAAGATTTAGAACGAATGATTTCAGACGAGTGCGTGAAAACCTTTCCTCTACGATCAGAGAGAAGACCCAGGCCACGGAGCAATCTATAGTATTGAACTGGCAGTATCTGTTCTATACATTGCAAGGGGTCTATCTATGCAGTCTACTGATTCAAATGTCTGATAATGGATCTAAGAAAAAATCTAGGTAAATATTATAAAGATGATAACACTGCTTAAAAATTTGTTGGTCTTTTTTTATTCAACTAAAGTGTTATTTACGTTTATAGGTCATTCTCCTGGTGGCCGGCGAATCAAAGCTTGGTCAAAGTGGATTAAAACAACAACGTGCATTCAACATTTACCTTTTGCTTAGTAGTTTGTAGACAAAAGTAGATTGATGTTACAGAGACATCGAGTACATAACCGTACTCGATGTATAGTGTATATGATATTATTGTAGAAAATAAAGCTTTTATTCTTCCATTACCTTACTTTTACTGTCCTACTTGTAACATTCTCATTGAAGCTCAATAGCTCCTCATAGATCACAAATATTTACAAAAATGACCGCTTCCTCATGCTCCTACTGGATACACACAAAAAGATATCTCTATAATTAATATCGATTTTTATTTCATTATTACATATACTTATAACACTTAAATTACGGAAAGGAGACATCCAACAATCTAATAAAGCTACTGCTCTACACAATTCTAGGGTGTCTGGAACTATAGAGCAGTAGGATGACTCAAGGGTATTAGTATTTCATCGTAATATTTGCAATTAGCAAATCAAGTTTTTGCTTTAGGCGCCGCGCAAACGTGTCTTGTGTTGGATACAAACAACCGGCAACTAGAACCAAATATATTTTCATACAAATTGCGGTTGCCGCAACCAGCGACTGCGTCGATTTCATTTCATGAAAATAGAATATTTGCATCTAGTTTTTTTTTTTTTTAAATTTATTTTCCAAAACAAAAATATACATTGGTTCTTAAATGTAACCTACCTACTGCAATCCCTATAATGGGTTTATATGTAGGAGGCTTCAGTCGCTGTCTTGCACAGATTTATGCGCTATGTCTGGCTGTTAGTTACTGTATACAAATTAAAAATAAATGACTTAAGCTTACTTTTACATTTGGCTGCATTACTACAATTAACTAGTTTTTGTACAAGGTCCTTGGGTAAGTGGTTTAGCGTGTAAGGGAGCACATATTCCCTGCCTCTTTGACTCTTGCAATTGCCTACAATTTTCGTAGATATTAACCATTTTAATTTTGTCATATATATTCATTGACTTACAAATATATAGGAACTTATAATTTTGCAGTGACCAAGTAATTTAGAGTAGTCATCCCTATATAAGTTTTTAATTTTAGTAGGTGCAATAGTTTTTATAAGACTAATTTGCAATTTGTAAATATCAAGTTGCCGGTAACTTCTGAGACAGATGGCTGTCAAGGATATTAAACCAAGTCACACGCAACACACAACCTCTTTATATATCTTTCAACTTATATTCATCACTATCAATCCCTTTCGGCAAACATTTATATTTCAATTTATTATTAACGGTAAATTCAAAACTTTCTTCTCCTGGAACGGACACGTAATACTTACCGCAAAAGGGCTTACATAATTTTAATAGTAATCGTGAAGTAAATGAATTATTATTTATATATTATTATTATTAATTAATACAATAAGTAAATGAAGTGATTTGTGATTTACGTCACGAGGGCACGTCCATTAAATTAGTCGAATTTTGATGGGGGTGACGACGCGGATCCAATTAACGCAAGTGAAGGAGAAACAAATTCAAGTGCCTACTGGGTGCACAAAAAGATATCTCTACAATTAATATCGATTTTATTTCATTATTACATACACTTATAACACTTAAATAACGGAAAGGAGACTTCCAACATTCTAATACAGCTACTGCTCTACAGTTCTAAGGTGTCCGTCTTTTTCTTTTGTTGCCCTTCATACCAGGCTTTTGATATCATCCTCTTCATTTCATCATCTCCAGTCTCATACCTAGAAGTAAACAAAAGATTAGGCATACATTCTGAGATTCCTATAATGCAAACAATCTTACTGGGCATTAGGCTGTTGATACAAAAATATATAAATATGTACTGATTAATGGTCCCTGTGAATCTTTCTAAGTGTAGTTGATTCTGTGGTCTAATTGAAATACCCAATGCTCCATAATTACGCCTGAATATTCTTATTTTGATTCATGATAAAATATTTCATTCAAAAACCTTTCTCCAATCAATTAAATAATAATAAATAGCTTACATATTTTTCATTAAGCTCATAATGGACTCTTGAGGATCCTTCTTATCCATATCATCAGTCTTGAAACGACTGTTGCGCTGGTCCTCAAATTTCTTCTCAATTTCTGTTATGTGCGACCATTTCACGTTTGGACGAGCTTTCGCCAGGAATACAACAACCATGTCTGGAATATTGAATTTAGAAATAAATACAAAAAACATTTAAAACATAATTATGCCGATGTCATCCAAACTAATATTATAAATGCGAAAGTAACTCTTTCTGTTACATTTTCACACCTAAACTGCAGATCCGTTTCTGAAGAATTTTGGTATAGAGATAGATGCGACCTAGGAGAAGCACATAGGCTACTTTTTGTCACAAAAATGAATTTTAAACTAGGTGTAAAATACGGGATGAAAATTTGTATGGAGAACCAATAAAACTATGACAATTAGTGTAGTACAGTAGGCTATTCAACTTATTCTACACACATGAAGTCACAGGCACTAACTAGCTAGTATTACATACTTTATGACATTAAAGTGGCTGGTGCAAAAACACTAGCCATATAGAAGAATCCTTTTTGTATGGAAGTTATCAATTGCAAACCACTTGTTCCGCTCAGTAGAGCATGAGCTTCCACAAGTTCTTTAAAACCTCAAGGAATCTGGGGATGCTGTAATATATGGCATATGCCAATTTCAACAAATTCTGTTTATATACTTTTTTTAATAATAACAAGTGACAGGACTAACAATGCACCTGATGGTAAGCGACACGCCTGTCCATAACAATTGCAATGCCACACAACTCTTTAAATTGCAAATTGACGGGCACTGCCACTGCACCCATCACCCTGAGACAGAAATTGACAAGTCTCATGAGCCCATAATTTCACCAGCACCCTTACCCTTCAAAACCGGAACACAGTAATGCTGATATTACTGCTTGGCAGCAGAAATAGGTAAGGTGGCAGTACTTCCTTGGACCAACTCTTTTATTATTATATACATTCTATTCTATTTTTATATTCACCTGTCTTCTGTTTCCAATGACTCTCAGCGATATTAATAGGTTCTAGCAGTTTATTAATCACCAGCAGGTAGTCTTTGTTTTCCAGATTGTCCACATGTAGCTCCATTGATCTTTCAGTCAATTTGCAGTATACCTGCTCCTTTGGCACTGTTTGAGCATTCTTGAGTGTTACAAACACTTTTATGTATTTGTCTGATTGATCCCAACCTAGGGAAAAGCATTTGTTATTAATTTGTATGAGTAGGACCTTACACCCACCACATGCAAAATAGGTGCCTAGACGTCGAGTTGCAGACACCAGCTCTGCTCTCCATGTCATAACTAAAAAATTTCCATTTTACTAACTTTCGAGATATTGGCAACTAGTTTCTTTTTGTTACTTATTTTTATTTATTCATTAATTTACAGCCAACACATTTACATATCAGAAAAATAGATAAATATAAAGACCTAGAGTTTGTCAAACTTCAATGAATGTATAGGTTTATCCATGACATGCTCGCAGTCACAAGTCTGCAGTCTGCGAGCATGTCGTGGACAAACCTACACAGATAATTATAAATATATTTAATTAAGACTACTATCTTAATTCAAAAATTTACAAGTCTCCATATATATACAGTATTTTTTTTATGGGACAGCATGTGGAAATCAGGAACCACAGGAGATACGAAGGAAACGGTCTTAGGAACCAATAAGTCTTTTTTGTGAAAACAATTTTGGCATTGTCAATTATTTTTAAGATGAGCAAATTTACACTGAATTCGTTGTTGAACCATGATGGAATATTCATCTTCAAGAAGAACCTAGTTAGTTATGACAAGTAGGGCAAAGCACACTACATAATACTATTTTGATTAATAATAATTCTGTATGTGTAAGAACAATTATGTATATATAGTAAGTACTAATTGGTGGAAAGGGGTGAAAGAAAAATACTTACAGGACATACAAATTTCTCTCAATTAACCAGTAAAATATATAAATTTTATGTACTGTGGTATATCGATACTTCAGGGAACAAATGGTGTAAAAAAACAAATTATAAAATTTACAAGTGAAAAAACATCATCACTTAGCAAACCGCTCAAGTGATTTGGAGTCATTTTAAAGGAGAGTGAAAAACTGCCCTTATATTATTGCATACACCAGATTTTCTAATGTATGATTGGTAATAGGTGCTCTATGTCCAGATAACACATAATTGTATATGAGTTGATTGTAAAATTTTTATATGTTCACATTTTATTTGGACTTGAGTAACATTCAAAAGTAAAAGTCGCCAATTTTCTACTTGAGCAGTGTTGTTTGCTAAGCAACAATATTTATAAATGTTCTCATTCAAATCTATTCTAATTTTAGGACCATGTTTTATCAAAAATTCACCGCTTTGGTCAAAACTAATTCCTTGATGAAATGAATTGAAAGACATAAAAAATTTTACATATACACGTAATTCGAACCACCTTGGATTTTCAATATTAAATGCTTAGCTTAAACAATGCTTGATTGCTCAAAAATGCTATTAAGCAACTTTGACACTAGTATACTAAACATCATTTGAATTTAAAATATCGGAGAAAACTTTTTCTTCAATCCTAACTATATTTTTATATAAAATTTTATCAGGATTAAAATGCATGTATATAGTGTATATAGCAAATTTTTGGTGAAATCGGCTTTACAAACTGTAATCCCCAAAGCATCGATGTGATAGTAACAGAAGTAACTAAGTACCTACTATAGTTATTTTGAAAACAAATATTGTTTATTCTATTTTATAATTTAGACTGCTAACAAACGACCAATAGTAGCTACGAGTGGAGCGCACAAGTGAAATTATTGATAACTTCAAAAACTTACCATAACCATTTAACTTAATCTGGTATCGCTTATTGTGCGTTGAACTAGAGGCGGCAGGTGTGGCTGCGGCCGCGGCGTCGCCGGCTGCACCCGACGCAGCTTCCGTGTCTTTTACATTAATCCACTCTGTCTCCAACTTGCGAATCTCCAACGACAACAGATCTTGCACCTTCTTACGTTTAGCTTGCTGCAGTAGCTCATTCAACTCGTCGATATCTTTTCGTAACTAAAATTTAATTTTTTAATTATAATTACTTGGAAACACGTTAGACGGACTAGTAAGCAGATGAAGAAAATATTCTTACCTCTTTTAATTTGGAGTCCGACATGATAAACCCGTAGGAATATTTTTTAAATTTGCAATTTATGCCAGCCCACTGAACAGTAAAATTCCCTTTACACAAAATTGAGCGAGACGTGCTCCTGTTTTTTTGGCAAATGCTTATTTATGGGCAAATGACTTTTTTTGTAGTAAATTCTGGAAATAGCGTTCGGATACACTATAAAATAAAATCTAAGGTTCATATTATTGTTTATGATTGTGTTCAAAATACTTTTTTAATACAGTTGCTCAAAACGTGGTATTTTTCGCACTACAAATCGTGCGGAAAGTTGGATTTCTCGCACTTGTGCTTTTTACTTTTCCAGTTTTTTTTAAATTTACTGTTGTTTTAAGTCTTAAACATAGAACTAAAGAGATTGTGTATTTATTTCATATTTATGTGCTTTGTGACGTAAGTCATTCGTCATTACTATACTATATCTATGGAGAGACCGCATTTTTACAACTATGAAGTAAATGCTCCTTAGTAGCGATTATGTAGAAAATAAAGTAATATAAAATAGTAATTTTAATGTGGCTGAATACTGGCAACAGTTGCCATATTGAAAAAAGTCGACCAAAAAAAGTACTAATTTTTTTCATCGTTTACATTCCCGCCTTTTTCATTATCTTTTTTAAATACTGTTTTATTTTACTTTCAATGTAGGTTTTTCGCAAATGTATTAAAAAACGTTGTTTGATACACATGCGGATTTGTCATTTTCACTTGTCTCGAGACTCGTGAATAATGACTAACTTTCCGCACTTGTATCAAAAATAACTATTTTAATACAGTTGCTCAAAACGTGGTATTTTTCCTTAGACTAGTACCATCTTAGAGGATGGAAAAAAAAATCCATCCTCTAAGTATTTTTCGTATTACAAATCGTGCCGAAAGTTGGATTTTTCGCACTAGTGCTTTTTACTTTGCCATTTTTTTTAAATGACAGTTTTTTCTAGTCTTAAACATAGAACTAAAGAGGTCATTGATTTACAAATAAATGGACGACGGGTCTAATACAAAAACCACGAAAAAAATGTCCCAAGTCAACCTATTCGAAATTTAAATTGTAATGTCATCGCAGTATCGCGCTGTCAGTCGAACAAATGAAGGCGGAGTGTGGCGCTCTGTATACGATTTTAGCGCCTTACAAGTGCGGACACTTTTTAGCGCGGACCCGACGTCCATATAATTGTAAGTCAATGAAAGAGGTTGTATATTTATTTAATATTTATGTGCTTTGTGACGTAAGTCATTCGTCATTAAGAATCGTACAGAACTCTACTCAATGCTCAAGAAGGACTTGAGTATGATTTCAAGCACTGGAAATCATACTCAAGTACTTGCTATTAGGGTCGTATTTTTTAACTTATGTTTACTTGGAAACATCTTATTTGCTTAAATTGCATAGGTGTTTTATAAAACAACGGGTTGCATTTAAAAATACCAAAATATTTTCCATAAAGATGGCTGATTGAGTATTAACAATGACCAGAGATGAGTATTACGCCATACCGCAGCGCGCCGCGCCACTAAAATAGTAATTTTAATGTGGCTGAATACTGGCAACGGTTGCCATTGTACTCTGAATTTTTATCAGACAAAAAATAAAATGAGTTCTTTTAAATTACTGTTTTATTGTACTTTCAATGTAGTTTTTCGCAAATGTATTAAAAAACGTCATTTGTCATTTTCACTTGTCTCGAGTCTTCCTCCTCAAGAAGCCTCGAGAACACAGAACACTATACTCACAAGGAGACTCGTGAATGACTAACTTTCCGCACTTATATCAAAAAGAAGTATTTATTATTAAAAAAGGAATATTACATTTTTCATTGATTTTCTTTTAGATCATTGATACTTATGTAAACCACCTTGCTACGTTAGTCTTAAACATACCGCTGCTCCTTTGAGATTGATAAAGACGGGATCGCGTACTTATATTAAATAAAACGAAAAATTGATTGCTGGAATCATTTATTTCAGTAAAGTAAAGCGTACATTAAAGAACATTTAATAGCATTGGGGCCGATTCTGTGGCAATTTGCCACATTATCACTATGCCTAAAAAGATATATTCTGAATAGCCCTATGAGATCAATGAATATACATTTGTCTTAATTCTTCCGATGAGCACGGTTGCGACGCATGTTGCTTTGACATTGTGGACAATACCATTTTCCTTTCGGCGGAGCGGTGATGCCCACACATGGATAGTGAAACCATTCATATGGACACTGAAAAAATACAATATGTTATAAATTTCAAGCACATTATAAAAATTAAACTAGAATGTACATACGTACAACATTAGGGTTTGTTAACAATTAAAATTTAAATTCGATTTTATTGATATGGCTCAAAGAGTAAATAAAGTGTAAGGTAACGCTGTTGTTGCGACAGCAATGTTTACAGTACAAAAATTGGTCTTTCCATTTTTTGGGAACGCTATACGACAACGCAGTCGCCATAATCAACACCCAGTAGCTTACTAGATCTTGTTTTGGTTTTTATCGTTTATTCATTTGGTGCTCTATTGGCTCCTATGTGAAAAATTTTACTTACATCCTGGTTATCACAAGCGACCATGTCTCCGTAGGAGACCTGATTACAAATGCAGTAACGCGGCTCGTTCGGGTCGTAAGTCCATTCCTCCTCCAGCGGCTCCTCTATGCCCACGTTGTTTACTATACTGGTGTTCATGCTAAAGCATATAAAAGGATGAATGAATAGGAAGCTTAATTTATGTAGAAAAGGAAATGAATCTATCATTTTCTAATATTTAGTAGATCATTACAGATAGATTCATATTATTAGTGATAAGTAAATGAAGTTCTATTTCATCCACGAGTCGTTTTCAGGATTTTATAGTTGGTCTTTTTTGAAATCTGAGTAAAATGACAGTTCATCGCGCAAAAGTGTTGACCGCTTGCGAGTAGCTAGTGATTGCTGTCGATAAATATTCTATCGACTATCAACCAAATATTGGTCACACTTATGGAATAAATAGTCGAACTTGTTTCATTTGAATCATCCTCGACCCATTATTCATCCAATTACTGAGCACAAGTTCAATTGAATTGACAATTTTTGTAAGTTCACTGTATTTAAAACTATGTTTATGAAAAACAAACAGAAGACATATTTTAAAGTTTTTTCTTTTAATTCAATACAGATATCTAGTTATTCTTATTCTTTCTCCATACTAGTGCGCCAACTGTCAAAATAAGAAATAAGGTAATAACGCAATTAGTTCCTATTTAACCATTACAGCGTCGTAACATTCACTATTCATCATTCATCATCATTTTTGGCAAAATTTTATCTTCTTTCACAATCTATCGATAAAACTATCGACAACAACTACATAACTATTAAAAATTTTATGAAAACTGGCAACTCTACATTCATTCATCCTGCCGTTCTACCTTAGACTATTTTATTTTTTTCCCATCCTCTAAGCATTCTACTCCGTCTTCAAAAAACACAGACTATAGAATCTTATTTCACGAGTCTTTCACTTGCGTTTTTCGGTTGCTTGCGATGGCTGCGGCACGGCGTAGAAATCTGCCTTCCGCGCAAAGGCTTTCACGAGTTTTCCGCTTTGCGTTGCGGAGAGACTCGGGCGCATGCGCGGCACCTTGCCTTTCTTTGGGTTGTCGACACTCTCGAACTAGCTGCTGCTCTGTAATTGGCCAGTGGTGCTGTCCTCCGCTAACGTTCCTTGTTGCTTGCGTGGAAATATAATTCTTGCTAGATATCAAACTCACGCAACGCATAGAAATCCAACGCAAAGCAAGCGGCCGGCGCAAGCGAGCGACTCGTGAACAGTCCTACCTGCGCATACGCAACAGATCTTTGCGTATTCGCGAAGCGAGTCACGCAAGCAAGCGATAAACGCATGTGAAAGACTCGTGAACCCGGCATTAAGATTCTATTCAGGGATATAATAAGTGTGTGTATGTATGTATTAGTGCAGGAGTATAATGAGTGGTCTAATATTTGATTTATATTAAAAAGTACATACACGACAGTCGGCGACGAGGAACGACTGGCTGCTGCTGCGACGACTTGCTGACTGTGAGACGACACACCAGAAGAAGAGCTGTAGCTCGTTTTTCTGTTTTGTTGTAAAATAACCGTTAGATATAACATTCTTTTAATAGTGTTTATAATACTGCAAAAGTTACCTGTATCTTTCTATATTCTGTGCTGTTTTCTATACATATGTCATTTTAAACATGTTTATACTCACTTCTGTTTATTATGTCGTTTGTTAGACGAAGAAGATGTGGCGTGTGCGTGGGAAGTGTTATGGTGCCCGTGTACGCTGCTGGATTGGTTGTGGCCTGAAGACAAACCGTGACCTGCAAAAAACAATCTCATTTCTAAATTGCTCACATAATGCATGATTTTTAAGTATATTTCCAAATCTGGCTTTTCGTTTTTATCAAGATAAGGTCATTTTCATAACCTGATGGAAAGTTAATATGTTGAAAAGAAATCTACACATTTTTCCTAGATCAGCGATACTCAACCTGCGGTCCACGGGCCGCATACGGTCCGCCAAGCTTATTATTTTTTTTTAATCTTGAGCGAGATATATTTAGGTTTTGTGTTTCGATATATTTAGGTCATGATTTTATTTATTAGGTTATTAAAAGGTCATTCACAAAAGTTTTGACCCGTGTAATATGGCAAAAAGTTGAATACAGCTGTCCTAAACGATGTCAAATATGGAACTAATCCTATAATTCCATCAGCCTGACTGTCAGAATGAAATGTCAAAACATTTTGAAATCCATTCTAAAATTCATAAATGTGTTTCGGAACTGTATTGGTATTCAATCAAACCGTGGGTTTGGTCAGACCACAGACCAGATAACCAACTTGGTTGGTTGGTTATCTGGTCTGTGGGTCAGGCATATGGTGATGTATGGAAGATCCCGAGGGTGACTAACCGTGGTCGTGGTGTGCAGCGTGCGCCTGGTGCAGCGAATGGTGGGAAAGCTCGCCGCCCGCCAGTGCCTCGATCGACGCCTTCATCGACATCGTACGCCGCCCGTGTGACATCTGGTGGTATAAGAGGTGATCGCATATATGAGTGCATTCAACAATATTTCGTAATGGTAATCGTAATTAAATACATATAACTGCGTACATTTTGTTCTTGCGAATTACAAAAAACTTTTTTGTCAGTCACTTGATAAAGAACAATAATAAATAAGTTTGGTGCTAACGGGATGACCAGATCAAGTCTCCACACCCATCTCAGCTCTATTGCCTAAACTAATCAGCGCATAAATATTACTTGTTGTGTAGCAGCAATCGCTTGGCTAGCAGCAGCTGCAAGACAACCTCCAGCATGTGAAAAGGAGTAGGAGTCCCGTCCCAATGCCGCCTGAAATGCCACAATAATTATAATATAATAAGACACTAGTCATTTTCACAAATGTATTTACATTTCATTTCTAATTAGGGTTGTAGTGGAGCCCCCTGTCTGACTTAAAAGCCAATCTGAAATTCAGACTGAATAAATGTCAACATTTTGTAACCCTATTCCAAAAAACCAAAAGGCAGAGAATAGCTTCGGAGATGTCTAGATTTTCCCTATGAACTTCACACTGACGCTCAAGTGAGACAGATCAATCCTTTAACATAGTAACAGCTTTTTTGAAGAGTGACATTATTTATTCAACTAATGATTTTGGTACACCAGATTTAGTTTTGTGAAAAAGTAGAGTTATAAAACCAACCTGTATGGCAGAGTCAGTTCTAGACAAGCTACTGGCAGTGGAATGTCCCCGAGAATCTCTGGTGCCCCAGCTATCACGTCGTTTATCTGGACGAATGCGGTACCTGCTGCCATGTTACAGGTGTTAAGAAATATAGTTTAAGTAACAAGCCGTCTTAGGTTTTTACAGAAATTGTTAGGAACATCAGTAATTTAAGATCTAGGAGCCGTATTTGTCGTCAAAAGGAGGTGGTCATTGTCACTGTAAATAAAGCTATGTCACTGGTCACTTGGACATTATAACTGCATTTGAGGAGCTAAGGAACAAAAACTGATTAATTTAAATTCTAATTCATCTAGTTTCATTGAATGGATTTGTCGCATTGTATCCAGACCTGTGCATTTGAAACATATTTTGAAAGGGGATTTAGCGGTTGTTGCTACGTTTGCAAGAGCATACAAAAACTACAGTTTGGTTTAAAAAGAAGAACAAGTCAAAATGTGACATATAGGTTTTTGTTCCTATGCTTTTCATTTCAGGTGATGCTAACGCCATGTGTTTGTTGTATTGTTAACATGAACAATTTTATGCATATCATATTAAGTTTTACATAATATTACAAAGCTTTATTTGTTTAAACAGAATGACAGGAACATTAAATCAGCATCTCCACTTACCTACTTTCCTTATAGTGGTTATTGTTGGATGTGCTAGTATGGTTGGTATTGATATCAAGCTCTAGAGATCGTTTCTCAAGCTGCTCTGTTATTCCTTTATTATCTGCTTCAAGCTCGCATTTGAACTTGTGCAATTCTGTATCTGGAATATGTTTAATATTTAATTTAAAAATAATTGAAATCAGCGTCATAGTACTTTCAGTCAGATAACAATAAGGTAAGTGGATGATAAATTCGGTAACACCATATGGTACAGGTTGCCAAATAAATAATAATTTGAAAAATAAATAATGACTTCTTCTGAGTGAACAGAGTCTATTAGCATAAAAAATGTCAAATTTACTCATTTTTTATTTAAAATATTTTATGATATTTGACCAACTGCGGCTGTCCCGATTTTTTTCATACCATACAATGAAATGATCCCTTCATGAAACTGAGTTGATAAGCACTAAAAAACTTTGACCAATTTGATACATTTTTATAAACAACTCACGCTTGACCAAAAAATTTACTATGCCAAAATTGTTTTCACAAAAAAAGACTTAATGGTTAGGTAACACAGTTTCTTTGTATCTGGTATGGTTACAGATTTGTCCATACTGTCCTATTTAAAAAAACACTCTGTATAGTGTATGTGTATATTGTGCTTTATATGGAAAAAAATATTTTTATACTGTTATAAAATAATGTGCACAATAAAATTGTTAAATGAATACTTGCCTAATCTTCTCAAGTACCGATCAACCAATTCAGACATCTGATTGGCCAGGGCCACCTTCTCCTCAGCCTCTTCCAGAGTTTTGGCATAGCATTTTCTTATATCGGAAAATTCAGTATTTGCTTGATCCTGGCTAATATCACCGCGTCGACAGCCGCCAAACAGCGTTCTAACACGCTTTTCTAGAGTATCCATGTTATCTAAAAATAGACAGAAAATAATCAATCACCACGCGTCCGTGTACAATGTTTTACATTTTTTTTAGCTATGTAATGTTTAAGTACCTATCTCTCAAACAATAAATATACACTTACTTTGAACAGACAAATCCATTTCACGCATCTCGGTGAATCGATCTCGCAACTCTTGAGGAAGATGTTCAATCACTGAAAATATAAATATTTTGTTTTGAATTTTTTTTTTTAAATACCACTTTAGAAAACTATTCAATGATTCGCGCGCTATCGTAATGAAGAACGCCGCAGTACTGCCAACCTTTAAAATATTACGTCATTGCAAGGGAACAAGACAACTACTTACTTTCCAAATAATCCTCGAGATACAGCATTTTGGTAAGTATTATTTATAAGATTATCACAAAACTTCACTTTGTATTAGCAAAGCTTTAATGCAAGTGATATGCGAGTACAGTAATTTGTGAAAACACCACACAGTTGACGTGTAACTTCTAACAACGTCACTAAATCAATGGCGAAATAGTGGTGTGCTCAGTCGGTGTGTAAACTTAGCGAAGTTGTCGATTCGGTTCGTATTGTTACGATATAATTTACGCAGTGCGTTAGCGGTGGGCGATTAGAGTTATTTAACTCGATTTACTTACACAACGAGTCAACTCGAGCTTCTTTTTTATGAACTTGACCTATCGTCCTGGGGGAGCGGCCTATTGGTTAGAGTAAAATCGAGTCATCTCACGATTCATGTCATATGAATTACGATACGCTGGCTTATGATACGATAAGGCTAAATTTCTTGCCAATCAAAGAAAGAACAGGCTCTTACCAAAAAAGGTAGCCCAAATTTTATTTTTCAATTCTTACTGCACCAAAAAGACATACTGACGTAATTAAAAATTATATATATATTTTGCCATTCTACGCATGAAAATATTTTCTAGTTATGAAATAATTTCTATAATACGGCTAATTTATATTAACTTAAATCAACTCGACGCGTAAATTGTCACTGTGTCCAACTCGGTGAATCGTCGGTTCGAGTTCATAAGAATATACTGTCGTATCGCTCTCGCTACTCGCTACTCGCGATTGCTCTGTCAGATACCGAGTCAACTCCACCAGCAACCAGCAATCACATGAACTCGAGTAACTCGAGTTGAAAAAAAAATACAACTCGTCCCTTCGTTACAATGACTGAAATTCGTGTTTTAGTTTTTCTAACTTAAATTGTTCCAAAATTAAGGTTGTTTAGTGTAATTTTTTGTTTGTTTATTTTTCAGTAGGTTTAAAGTATCTGAACAATCGTTACGTAACTTTGCTAACGTTGCTTGTTAACACAAATACGCTACTGTTTCATGCTTGTAGAACAACGATAAATGGTTGTCGATGATGTGTTGTGAACATCCCTATGATTTCGGAAATAGCAGTTGCAGTAACATTAAAAATAAATACGGTAGCGTTCAATAAAAATAAAAATTTATGTTGATGGTTACATTCAATAATTATGTATTTTACAGATTTAATATGATTCGCCGACCACTCACGGAAATATCTTTAAAGCTTGATGATTTACAAGAATATGAAGCTTTTCGCAGAGAACAAGCGAATGCAACTACAGTAACTGAAATGCAAGAGGATACGCCTAAATCTCTTGGAGTTGGAACCAAAACATCTGAAGAAATTCATAGTCGTATAGGTTACGCACCTAAAAAGAAACCTAACGGTCCTAGTACGGTGTAAAATGGGTGTAGGTTAAATAAGTATTAAACTTCACACAAGCCTAAATGATTAAACATTACTTAAACATGTTATGTAGGTACTTAAAAATACCATTGATCTAAACTATTCTATTATTTTCACTCCGTTTTTTATTCTAAAGACAGCATTAATAAGAGTATAACATTCCACGAATAAAACAAAGTTAATTAGCATTATTTGTTTGTTTTAATTAAGGTTATAATTATAATTCAGTGCAAAAAAATAACGAGTCTATATTAAGGTGCACATTACTAATGGAGAAAAGCCATTACATATTAAGTCATTGTATAATATTTTAATCGATATACATTTTGCTCGGTTTAGGGCTCGAACAATCCTGGTCTTCTTTCGGGGACACAGTACTAGCTTTATTTTTGGCAACACGACGGCGATAGAACATACAAAGAAGTCTGTAAGAAAAAGAATTAGTTAATGTTCTACATAATTTTAATAGAAATCTACCGCAGACGAGATTCGGGCGAATATTCGACTACGGTTTCGGCCGAAGCAACATTTTTTTCATGGTATTGAAGCAATATAATTGAATTATAAATTGTGCTTTTTGTGTAACACGTGCGTTTTTTTTTCATGACTTGGTATTCGTTTCATGAATGATATTAAAAAAGTGACCGAATTAGGCCGAACACCGAATTGTTGCCGAATTTTCGTGGCGTCTCCATCGCAGACATAAAAGTTATATGTTAATAAACTAGTTTTTTTTAATGTTATGAATTAAACAATGTTTGTTTGTTATCAAGCTATTAAAGAACATGTAGAATACCTTAAAGTAAGAAAATAGAGGATCTCAATGACGCTCAATATAGAAAAACCCATGAACAAGCCGAGTAGGCCGCCGCAGTTGGCCAGGAAGTCTGTTTGACCGTAAAGTTCTGAGCGTCGAGAGGTAATAAACTGAGCTTCTTTGAAAAAGATCATCACGCGAGCGTAGTGCAGGCTGGAAATTATATTATAGGTACACATTGACTGTAATAACATACTAAAATATTTGCAACAGGTATGATAATGAAACTTGATGCTTTGATCGTTCTACGTGCTCATGACCTTGTACGATTTGTTTTTTATACAAGTTTTCCCCCACTTATTTGGTTTGTACTATGCAGCCTCTTCATATGACCTGTTTGACGGCTTACTCAAATAAATGAGTGTGACAAATGTCTTAAGACTTTTATAGCATATTTAAGTATAATTATTTATTTTATTTATGAATTTATTATAGCAGCAGTAGAACTCCTTGTGAAAGAGTTCGTCCACCTTACCTATTTCTGCCGCCAAGCAGTAATGTCAGCATTACTGTTTCCGGTTTTGAAGGGTAAAGGTGCTGGTGAAATTACAAACACATGGGACTTGTCAACTTATGTCTCAAGGTGACGGGCGCAGTGGTGGTACCCCTCAGAACTTTGCAATTTAAAGCTCTGAGTGGCACTGTAACTGTTACGGACAAGCGTGTTGCTTATCATCAGGCGCCCGACTTGTTTGTCCCGTCACTTGATGTTATAAAAAAAAAATACTCCTCGGTGGCCAAACGGTTACCATGCTGGACTGCCACACAAAGATCCCGGGTTCGATTCCCGGGTCGGGAGAAATATTTGTATGGCCCACATTTATTTGTCTCGTGAGCTTGGGTGTAACTTGTGATTGTCTACCTACGATACAGGGCGGGGCTATGAGTGTGTAACTTTTAACTTATAAGCACAATAATATCTTGGTTATCAATAATTTAGAATTCGAAATTATATAACGAGGCGTTGACATCACCATTATTTTGATATATTCACGTTTCCAATTTCCCACACATTATGCAACATGGGTAGGTACCTAAGGTAAGGTATCTTTTAAAGAATTTAAAGGCGCCTACTTCCAATGACATTCATAAATATTGATGTAAATACGAAAAGTTAGTGATTAATTTTATGAAAATACCGAATTCAGAAGAATTAGGACATTGTTTTTCAAAAAAACTAAATGTTTTTTTATATAAGTAAAGTGCGTAAGTAAATGTTTTTTTGTATAAATAAGGTTACTTAAGTAAATACTTACTCCGATTGGAATTTCCAGTTTAGCATAAAAAGTACAGTAATCGGAAGTCGGAAGACTTTAATGCAAAGTGACGAAGCGTGTGTGTTAAACAAAATCATTATGATTGTCAGTTATTGGATGTCAAGCCAGGGGGGAATAGTGAATAAGCCACCTTATAAATATGGCTTTCAGGGCAATACTGCCCTCGTAACGGAAAAAGGCACAACTATGCGTACTTTAAACAGCAGTTGTGCCTTTTTTCGTTCCGGGGGCAGAAAAGTGGTGTAAAGCCATGAAACGCATATCGAAGATGAATTTAAATGAATGAGGGACTTAAAATTATCATTTATTTTTTAAATCGTAATCACAGTATATGACCAATTTCCTACAGGGTTATTTGTAAAATATTAACAACCTCACAGGACTGTATTACTAACATCCCAAAACAACAACTTTTGTACAACAAAAATAAAAATATTTGAACAGGTCGCTCTAAAGAAAAACAAACAAAAAAGTGAAATGTATTTTTCTTTTATTTATATTATGTTTTGTGGAAAGTTATGGAATAAAAGTCGTTGTTTATGATGTTAGTAATACAGTCTAGGGAGATTGTTAGTATTATATAATAACCCTCGTATAATTTTTTTTATACATAAAAATATCCAAATTAAAATAATTACGTACTTTAGTATCATTGAAAGTAATATCGTAGAAAAAGAATTAAAAGTGCGTTGATAGCCTCAAATGGGGTGAATCCAGTGACGACTTGCGAATTGTCGCAGGGAATTGAATTGGATACTGTATTTCGTATGGTAAATAATTCAGGTAAGGAAATAGAACAGGCAGAGGCAGACTGGTAATTTACTAGGGGCCCTTCTACACGTTAGGGTTATAAGAGCCGTGTATAAAGTGTACTTAAGTCGATAATAGCGCTACCGTCACACTCAGCTAAATCTATCTGTGCTCTGCTTTTGATGATTGATTTCCTCGAGTCAGAGATCGCAACTGGGCCATGGAAATCAATTATGACAAAATATTTTGATCTTTGATTGCAAATATAAGCGCCGAATTTCGGTTGGTGTGGTACTGTTGGCTACGTTCAACACATTGTTGGTTTTTCCGGGACAATTCAAAGGCTTAATGGGTCGTAGGTTATATCTGTATAGGTGTCCAAAAACTTACTCCTCCTCGTTATCCGGTATAGGTAACTTATACGCCTGGAATAAAGCTTTCCAATCATAATCGGCTTGTGAAGTCTCAGCCTCGTATTCTATCGAAGTGCATGCGGGCAGGCATTTACAACTAGCAGCCACTTCTCTCGCTGAGCCGAGGTTATCATCGGTTGTCTCTTCATCTAATCCTGTTTGAACTTCCGCTGTTACTAGTTCCACTGGAATAAATATTAGACAACATCACATACGTTGCTTTGTAAAAGTAAGTAGCTAAAGCACTTTTGTTATGGAAATCGGAAATAATAACGGTACCACAAACATCCGGACTTGAGACAATATCGAAAAGCCAGTTTTTGTACATTGACCCACCAATTTAGAGCCTGGATCTCATAGATACAGGGAAACTGTCTTGGGAACCATTAAGTCTTTTTTTTTGTGAAAACAATTTTGGCATAATAAATATTTTAGTCAAGCGTGAGTTGTCCATAAAAATGAATAAAATTGATATAATAAATAATAATGATAAATATTTTTTTTGGTGCCAATCAACTCAGTTTCATGTAAGATTTTTCTTTTCATTGTATGAAAAGAAAAAATCGGGAGAGCAGAAGTTGGTCAAATTTAATAAAATGTTTTTTCACACAAAATGAATAAAATTGACCACTAAAAAAAGTCAATTTTATTCATTTTTATGGATACCTCATGCTTGACCAAAAATTTACTATGCCAAAACTGTTTTCACAGTATTCCTGTATCTCCTATAGATTCGGATTTACACATACTATCCCAGTTAAAAAACACAACTGTATGGTAATATGAGCACATTGTCTTTGGTCTTATGTGATTAACTACACATGTATAGGGTATAATTTTACTATACAGGGTTTCCCTAGAGCGGGGCTATGAGTGTATGCATTATTATTATTATATTATTAACTTACTTTGTGCAGCCTTTACACACGCTATACTGCCAGCATTACAAACTGGCATTTTAGGGCCATCTGAAACAAATAAAGATCGAATAAGTAATTTAACTCAACCTTATTGATATCAACTGTACAAAGATTACACAAAAGGACCAAATGCCAACTTACGTGGCATTCCGAAATGTACGCAAGCGCAGCGCGCGAAGGTAAAATTGGTTAGACATTCCATCTCGCAGTTCGCCTGAGTGTACACTTTGTAGTACCGTAGGTATCGCTCGCTCGGGAAATAACATTGTCGTCTGAAATATTCAAAAGATGCTGTGGTGTAATCTACGGCACGCTTTTATAGTGCTTAATGAAATGTCATGTGCATCTATGATACGCACAATGTGCCATTTACATTTCTCAATTACCGTAGAAGTGAGTTGTGTAATAATATAAAATGCGTTAGGTTAAGTTACTGCCTGAGTTAGCGCGAGAGTAGTGTCGGGTGGGTCTTGGAAAAATTTCCATTTTGAAAAAATCATATTTTTTCCTATTTTTTTGTATATAGTTTTCCACATTTGACAGGGACACCTGTTAAAACTTGAAGATACTGAACTCTAATAAGAGAATTTGTAAAAATAAGCCAAGCAGGGTTTAGAAAAATACATTCAGCGATGTTTTTATAATTTTTTATAATTCATGCTAAATAAAATTTAAAAAAATATCTCTACAGTAGAACATAATATGGGCCTTCGAAATATATTGTTCTAATATTGCAGAAATTTTTCAGAAGAATCTTCAGATTTTGAAACTTTTCGGAAAATTACCTAACTCTACACGAGGTTAACCAAATTAACTCCGAGTGCAGTACCCGGAACATCGAAGTCAGAACTATTTTGAGGAGTAGGTACGTTTCTTTAATTAATACTTCCAGAACCGAATCGAATATGCTACTTCCTCATGTTGCGCTCAAATTGTTAACCGCTGGGTTGTTGGTTATAACGGGAATTTTAATATTTATATGATACCTTTCTGGATCGTATGGTTTTAATCCTTCCGACGTGGTCATCATGTTAGGTTTAACTGCAACGACCACTTCCTGAGACAGCGGCGATCTAAAGTACTGCTGAGACAATCTAGGCAGCTCAGCCGGATTGTGTAGTAATATCTAAAGAATAAAATGGCTAGCAGAATTTGTTCAACATTTAAAACAATTAACTTTCAACGCAAAAAGATAAAGTTTTGCTGCAGGATGATATTTGTTAAGGGACTTACCACATTTATTCACAAGGAATAGTATTAAGCCGGTTAAAAAACCTCTGTGCATGCAATATGAGCGAAAAGAACGTTGCGCGATTTCTTCCACTCGGATCGCCGACGCGAAACGCTCGTAATTTTCGCTCTTATTAACATGGATAAAAAGATTTTTGTGATCAACCTAAGGCGATTCCGTATCGATAAGTGTGGTATAAATATGTATAATATACATATATAAAATAATATTAATTTGTATATGTATAAATAACACAGAAATAAACGAATAATCAACATTTTACCTTAAAACCTTGTACTGGTCCCTTACAAAGGTAATCCAAATCAATTTCTCTAGCCTTTAATAGGAATGTTAATCCAGCTTTTACGCCGTAGCCCTGTTAAAGGTAAAATATCACAATCAAGACATGCAACACTTTCTCGTTCCTATTTCACAAGCCGTGTCGAGTTTTGTAAGAATTTATAGATACTATTTTAATTCCCCTGATATAGGTACAATCAACTTTCGATCTAAAGATCAAAAAGAAACGAACGATTGCATCTTGGATAATATAATTTTTATTACGGCGGACGGTGGCCACACAAATCAAGTATGTAAATTTTTTATTACAAATATTTTTGAAACTCCTAATAAAATTGTATGATTGTATGAACTATAGTGTGGTGTAACATCGGTTTATTTTAAATACAAATAATTGCATTTCAAGTTGCTGTTACAATAACGTTCCAAATTCCAGTCCCTACTCACCCAATTACGATTCCTCGCGTTATTTTTCCAAAATGAAATGTTGAAATGCCAATAAAAGTGATAGTAGGTAAGTCATTGTATATAAAATTTTAAATATTTACCGAGATTTTTTAAAAGGAAATAATAAATTCCAGTGAACTATATGCTGTCTGTAATTCCAACGAAGCTATGTTAAAATGAATTACTGAAAAATATACACAAAATATACCGACAAGGTTAATCATATTTAGCAAACAATCAAGAACAAGACGTACGAAAACACTGTACATCCGAAATAAGATATGAAACTTCTGAAACAAACGCTAACTTACCTTGTGTCCTATATTGTCACCCATAATGTATTTCCATATTATTGAATAGTTTAACAAGTTCCAAAGTTTATGAAATGTATGAGGTCGTTTTTAAATGTATTATAGGTGATTTACTACAAAAGCGAATGACAATAGTTTTAGTAAATTGTAAATTAAGTTGGTAGGGTAATATTACGTCAGCAAGATTTTTCGGATTTTGAGGATGTCATCAAGTTTTTGATACCTATCTAGTAGTAGGTAAATGGCGCAGTACTGTTCATAATTTCAATAAACTCATTTTTTATTTACGTTTTGGAGCTTTTATACCCTTCTTTCAGTGATGTGTTTGAAATCAAATAAATTTATTTAAATTTGTCGTTGTTAATATAAAATACGCTTTAATTGAGTTAAATACAAAAACGGAACATTTTTTTCCAAAATCAAGTGGCAGCAAACTTGACCTGTTTACAAAATTTTTATAAATTTTTTTATGGTTTACCATAATTAAAACAGACATGAATAGATATTATTTGACATAAATACAATAATATTCAAACATTTCAGTGACATTTTTTTATATGCTAAGTTACGGAGTGTTTTAAATGATCCACAAACTTACCTTGACGTGTTAAATGTTGCGTGATGTGACATCGTGAATAAATATTATTATTAATTATAATTGTTTGCACTTACCAGGCCTCTATGTGGATATGTTTCCAAAGGAGTACCATCCACATAGCCGGATTCTAAAGTCCACGTCGTGTTCACAATAGCAGTATCCAAATACTGGTATTCCTCGTGTAAGCTATAAAATTATTTCCATTTATTTTATTTTTTTTATTTATTAATGGTAAACTAGAAGTATATACATTTATATTTCTAAATTAAACAACGAAGTAAGCTAAATAAGTTTACACTTGTAGAAATAAAGTAACTTTACAATTTTTTTACAATTCGTATCTCTGTGATGGCATAGACACACAGACTTTAATTTGTAAGTAATTTACTTACATTTGTGTAAGTTTAGGAGAAACACCTCTCGCTAATCGAGAAGGAAAGCATGGTGGTGAAACCTGCATGTCGAAGAAAGTTACAATATTATATACCTAATAAGAATGTGCAAAATCTGTGTTCCTATAGACAAGAAATTTCGTGTGATAAAACTCAAAGCTATCTACATTTATATTACATTTGAGTAGGTACTTTTCGAGTCTGAAGAGTTCTTGGGCACCCAACGTATTGAATGTATAACATTGTCCTTCTTCAGTTAAAATGCCGGAGAAGAGGTCCTCGCAACTGTCCTTAGGGATATCCTTCCATTTGCACCCGAAAAACACGTCAGTCATGTTTGGTGATACCTGCACAGGTAGTAGATTACAAAAATTTGTCAAAAACAATTGAATTCTAAAATAAGCGTTTTTATTTCAGCATTCAATTGATTGATTGAATTGTGTTTCTGATAATGGTAAAAATGTATTTTTAACCGACTTCAATAAAGGAGGAGGTTCTCAATTCGACTATATTTTTTTGGGTGTGTTACGCGATTTGTGAACCGGTGTTGATGATTCCTTTTTGTTAGAAAGAAGGTACCTTAGTAATGGGCCCATTAAAATTTGAAGAAATTATTCCACCTCTAAGAATGGCAAGTTAAGGGATGAATCCGGTTTATTGGATTTCACCCACTGTCTATCAATAAAATTTAGCAAATAGATGTAGGCATAATTTCACAAGCTTTTGAGGTCGATCTTTTTTAATGAAAATGTTATAATTTATTACAAAGAACAATAGAAATCCGACAACACCCGAAACACGAAGACTGCCGAGGGATAAAGACAATAGTTATATCTGCACTTAGTCATTTCATTAAGTTGATAAAGTGACGTTTTGTAACACGTTTCCACGTTATTCGACTTAATGGTTTGAATGTATTTTTTAATTACTTACCTTATTGTTCTTTTTGTCCATCTTTACAGAGAACATTTTTGTATTGTGTTGTTTGAATGAGGAAATGAAACTATTATTTACAAACCTCTTTTAGGTTGTTGACTGTTAGAGCACCATCAGAGGTGTTCCGACCATCACGTGGGGCTAAATGATCGTCACATACTAATGACACGTCTTCAAACATATTTCGTCTGCGAAGATTAGATCTCGTTAATTTTATTATTCTGAACAATCTCTTTTGTTTATTAAAAAAAACTGTCCGGCTTAATGCGAATCAACGTCGATGAATGTGGTGCTTCCCTTTTGAGAATATCAAACGACAAATCTGTCTCATCCGTAGAACAAAGACCTATGTGCAAGACTGTTTATTTTCAAGAAATTGTACGGACAACGGCAATAAGATACGTCAATGTGTAGCTAGCTAATGTGTAGCTTGATGTGCTGGCGTGTGTACATTCCGTTGGTCGTTTTTTGATTTTATATTTCCGAAACCAAATAAGATATAAAAATTCTGCAAACACCTATATGGGCCTTCTTTGAATACATAAGTATTTATCCTCTTTTCGAATTTTTTTTGGGAGACCAACAGAATAAGGAATGGTGTTGATTGAGTATAGCACTTACTCAGCTTCTGTCAAATTGGATAAAGAGGTTTGATTCAGATACAAGTGATAGTATTCTGTGAAGTTGAATCTTGTCTGCATAGCTTTTGTTTCGAAGCAAACCGTTACGGCAGGATAAGGGATCTGCAATGTCATAATATGCAAATGTTTGTATTATGTTATCTAAAGATATTGAGAAAGTATACACTGATGGAGGGAGTTAATACTCTATTGTCTCGCGAAACCGGAATCAATGTCTCAAATGCATTTTTTTTTATGATACCAAGTGACGGGACGAATAAGTCGTGCGCCTGGTGGTAAGCGACACGCATGTCCATAACAGTTGCAGTACCACTTAGAGCTTTAAATCACAAAGATCTGAGGGGCACTGCCACTGCGCCCGTCACCTTGAGGCACAAGTTGACACCATGAGCCTGCACTTACACCAGCACCTTTACCCTTCAAAACCAGAACTCAGGAATGGTCACGTTACTGTTTGGCGGCAGAAATAGGTAAGGTGGCAGTACTTTCCTGGGCGAATTCTTTCACAAGGAGCTCTACTGCTACTAAAATATTGTTAAATGTCAAACGTGATAATTACGTTTAAGTATACCCATACCAGTTAATTAGTACACTCGGGATCGCTTCATAAAAAAGCAAAAAAGTCTGATTTCTTATACCTAAGTGAATTAGACGGCTGTGTTACCTGCCAGACAGGAGTCGATGTCTCGGCAAAGCTTACAATCACTGGACTTTCGTTCCATTTTATCCAAACTTTTCTAATGAGTCCAGCGCAAAGTACCACACAACAGGTGACCACAAACAGCCAGAAAACTCTACAAGAAACGGAAATATTTAAACACAATTTATACATTTGGTATTTTGATGCATGGTTACAAAAACAAACTCCGTTTGTTTACTTTTCTAAGAATGTTCTTTCTTTCTCCCCGATGTATTTTAAGCCATGGAGACTGGAATTAGCTGTGAAATCCACAAGATATTCTTTCACAAAATTTTGTCGTTTCCTTTTTGTTTCTTCAGTTTTATCGGGGCTTTTCTCGATATCTGTTGAACTTTTGCCGACGCTCTCAGATCTGGAATAGAAATTAATTTATAATTAAATAATACTTTTTGATCACTTACCTACTCTTAACAATTACTTTATAAGTATAATAAAAAAATACACAAATAATCTTAAAATTGTTCAATAAAATTGAAAAAAATTAAAATTTGTGTACACTTACTTCGAGTGGCGTCGCATGTTGTCGGAAAGTGACTAAATTAAATAATGTACAACTACAATGAATACGGCCTAGATGGGAAAATGGAATATCTAATTTGGTAAAATTAGCCTCAAAGGACGTTATGCCAATTATGAAATTAAAAACAAGTTCATATACTCTGATATGCAACACTTTTCATACAATTCCCAACGACAACGTTTCAATTACATTTTCAGAAATTTATTTATTGCTTGCTCATTTCCATTCTTGTTCGTGGTTCTGTATTTTGTTTAAGATAGGCTTTGTTCATGTAGCGTTGGGTAATTTTCCGAAAATTTTCAAATAGTGGAAATTTTGAGGAAAAAGTTTTGAAAAATTTGAAAAATTCGAAGACTCAATATTATGTTTTACGTTTAGAATATATCTTTAAATATTTTATTCAGCACGAATTATAAAATAAAATTGTATAAACATAGCCAAATGTAATTTTCTAAACCCTACTTGGCATAATTTCCCAAATTCTTTTTTTGTGAGAGGCGTTGCTGTCAAATGTGGAAAAATATTATGATTTAAAAAAATGAAAATTATTCCATGATCCAACACTATGCTCAGGATATTTTTATGTCGGATTGTATTTGAAACAGCAATAACTAAATTTGGAATGGTATTTACTATATATACATGTGTCGATACCTACAATACTGTTATTTCGCGCACCGTGTTTTTAGTTATTGATTATTATTTGAGGAACCATAAAATTATACCGCAACTCAACGTTACCCTCGGGAATTTTGGCACTACGAATTAATATTACAAATTAATATAAAAGCACCTGGAGGTACTTATAGAGTATAATTAAGTACCTTGCTGTAAAGTTATCCAAGTATCATCGTCACGTACAAATAATACGTACCTAAATGTACATAATTCGTGTGCATAAATAAGTGATTGCTTACTACTATACTGTCTTCGGAAGGCGCATTTATAATTCACAGATACTTAAATGAGTTTAAAAGTTTATAGACGCTTCTAAGAAAAAGAATTGTTTAAATCACAGAAATTTAAATAGATATTTATTTAAATTTCTCTGGTTAAAATATATTTTTAACATTAAATAATTTATTTACGTTAAATATATACCTTTAAATTGATCAAAATCATCTTATACTAATCATAAAGTTTCATTGTATGGGACAAAAAAATCGGGACAGTCGAAGTTGGTCAAATTTCATAAAATATTTTTCAAACAAAATGAATATAATTTACTAATTTTTTTTAATGCTAATGAAACTGAGTGTTTCATAAAAATGATTTTATTCTATAAGTAGACAAAAATTATCGGGACAGCAGAAGTTGAGCAATGGCAGACTTAGGATTATAATGTCATAAACGTCAAATTACTTTTTATAGTAGAAAATCTGATAGTTTATGTCAGTTGTGCCGTTTGAGCTCACTGCATATCGAACAATTATTATTGAGTTGTAATTCTACAAAAAATTAGGCATATCGACTTTTTTCCTCAATTCCGAATATGTGTTTAACTCAATTTTGAAATAAAAATTAGTTGTGCCCCTTTTCGTTCCGACAGCAATTTAGGTAGCCGTTAGTCGTAACTTTAAGACTTTGTAGATCTTTTTGAACGTTAGAGACGTATAAATATACCTATAAGTGTAATATCAGAAATATTTGTATGGCCTGCATTTATTTCTCTCGTGAGCTTGGGTGTAATTTATGGTTGTCTACCTGTGTCCATGGCACCCGCGATACAGGGTGTCCCTAGTGCGGGGCTATGTTGAGTGTGTGCGTTATTATTTATTTATTATTTAATATGCTCATAATGTCAAGAAAAAATATTACCACGGTTTACAGTTTACAGTTTACTGACTGTGGCACTTATGACTTTACAGTTAACCACCAAAGTTCATAAATACATACAATGTTCATCATTTTACATAGGCACAGATTTCACTAAGTAGGTGCTGTTTAAAGGCCTAAAACTTTACTATACTTAGGTTTATTCAAGAAAAATTTCAAAGCATCTGTTTTTTTGTTTCAATGGACTGTTTAATGGACTATATCCGTTTCTTTAATTTGGAGAAATTAGAGAATCGGCGAAAGAAAATTGAACCTGCAGCTTGATTTTGATTGCCTCTCCCGATCGGGAACTGCGTCTTTTCCGAGTCGAGGCGCATAATTGCGAATTACAAGTGGCCGATCGGAAACTTGACATTTCTAATCGAATTAATTCATAATAATCGGAACAATAGTTGATTTAACTTACAAATTAGAAATATATAGTAGGAGTCAGGTTCATCTTCTCGCTCAGAAACCCATCTGATTCAATCTATTCCGATTAGAATCAAAATCTGGACGCTGAACTGGCTACATGATTGATTAATATGAAATTTTATTTCAATAATGAAAACCGCTGATTACAATACAATGGCAATTCAGGAACGTCAACTAGCTCCCAAGATCTAGAGATTTAACACTATTAGGTAAAAATTTTGTTGGGGCCATGTTAATAATTTATTTACAAAGACAAGCAACAAAGCGTGGCGTATATACAAAGATAAGTATGATGATATTCTTTGATTGCATCCGGTTGCCTGTAAGAAATCACTACATAGCAATAAGGTCACCTGTTGCACCTTAACTTACTACTATTATACTTAACAGGTTCGTCACTGGCTAGAATTTTCAAAAATGTCCAAATCTGACATTGGCTTAAGTGATTGTTTTTGGTCTCATTTGTTTATGTACATAAGTTTTTTCGCGATATTTCATTATTTGGCTCTATTTTGTGATTACTTTAGTGCCATTTAAACCCGGTGCGGCCAACATACACATAATGTTCGATCGATGTTTACCTAAAACTGACATTTCTACCATTTCAGATGTTTCAGATTGACATTTCACATTAACCATTTTTTGGTTAGTTTATGGTTAGTTTGTAACTTTTAAATTAAATTTGAAATTAAAACCAATTTTTTGGATTCAAAATATATTTTTTCCTATAAATCTAAAAAATTTAAAAACAAATCCTAAAAACCAACTGGCAATAGTAGTTCGCCAGGGTCCTGTTATATGCCTAAATACGCAGCGTTAATTTTATGTGCAATAAAGAATATTTCATTCATTCATTCATTCAAAGCGTGGATGAGCTCAAGATAAATTCCTTGTGTTAGTTGACCTTAATATGTCATGCAGAACCGAAATTGTATGATTTTTTTATAACATCAAGTGACGGGACGAACAAGTCGTGCGACTGATGGTCAGTAATCTCACATCTGTCTATAACAATTGCAGTGCCACTCAGAACTTTAAATCGCAAAGATCTGAGGGGCACTGCCACTGCGCCCGACACCCTGAGACATAAGTTGACAAGACCCATGTGCCTGTAATTTCACCAGCATCCTTACCCTTCAAAACCGGAACACAGTAATGCTAACATTACTGCTTTGCGGCAGAAATAGGTAAGGTGGCAGTACTAACCTGGACGAACTCTTTCACAAGGTGCTCTACTGCTACTAAAATTTAATATTCGCGTTTTGTATTATTATATTTTGCGACCTCCGCAGTCGAGTGGCTTGTACACCGGTTTTCATGGTGTGGCTATCTCTGAGGTCCCGAGTTCGATCTCCAGCCGGGTCAATAAAGAAACTTTTCTGTGTTGTCTCGAGTCTGGGTGTTTGTGGACCATCATTGTTATCGATTTCCATAGCACAAGTGCTTTAGTTACTTTCTTCCGGATCGAAGCAAAGTACGTGCTGTTGTGTAATAATAATAAGAAGATTCGTGAAAATCATCAAAAGAAACCTTTTTATGTACCGTGTAATAAAAATAAGCGTTTTATTTAACAAAAGAAATAAATTCAGGATTGTCAGTGTTTAAGGAATAACCCTTTTGATAAATTAATTAAGTAAACACCTTATTGTGAACTTAGATAAAAGCTATTCAAGTCGTTTAAATTAACAAGATCAAACTCAAATATCTTTATTTCTTATGTAAGCAAATTACACTTCAATTACTTCAAATTATAATATTGTTTACACTGTAGGTACTCCTCATTCGTAAGGCAGATTCCCCTGAGAAGAATGAGCAAGAAACTCTTGAGGTTGTTGTTTGTAAATATACATTTGTACACATTTATAATTTATTTCATGACATAATATAGATCGACACTGCCTGCAAGAGCTAAAATCACTACCACGGATTTTTGTCGTCCAGGAAGCTGTACAGACCTATTGATATATGTACAGTTTTTGTTTCTTCTAATCATCGGATTCTTATTATATTGTACGGTGTATAGCGTATACATGGCACCTTAAATAAATTTGTGAAATACTGGAAGAGAACCTACGGAAAAACGATACTATCTCATACGAGATACGAGAATTAATAAGCACTTTCATAAGTCATTGCGTTTTATATACATTTGTTACCTAAATAATTCTGAAAATAGTCTCACGCAATATTGGTAAAACTAGATACATACGATATGCTATGAAGCTGGATTTCGGGATGATTCCTTCTCTGTCTTCTGAAATTCTTACTTGAATATTCCATATTTACAAATTGTTGATGTATCAGTTGCTGTTTTTTATGTACAGTGACCCTAGCCAAAACAGTGAATTTTTAACACGGCTCTGTGTTACAATAATCAATCAGAATGTGCTAAATGATGTCAAAAAGATTTCGAGTTTTCCATTGGTTAAAATAATCACCGAGCGTTCCATTGGTTAATAAGATCCGTCTTGCGTGCCAAGTTCGCCTCAGTTTTTTTTAATTATACGCGTTTTTTGAGATAGGCCGATCAATGTTAATGATTATAAAGTTAAATTGATTCTTTCCTTATTCTTAGAGTTGAATTGATTCCGATCTTATTTTACACAAGCATTCGAATCAATTTAACTTTATTGCATATTTTACTTTTTGAGATAACCTTTTGCGTCATACTGATGATAGCTGACAGACGCTTAGATATTTACTTACTTAGTACATTGATGATAGGTCTTCATAGTAGTTCATGTAATTCTTAACAACTGAAGGGTTTCTAACACCGTTTCTAATATAAAAAGGTACTAAGTAAACAATTTTCACAAATAAAAAAAATATTACATTAACCCTATTCTGCAAGTGCACTTGAAAAGCGGACATTTATCGTATTATTTATGTTTAAGTTTGTTTGTTTGTTTTATATTGAAATTTGTAATAAATACCGAAAGTATAGAGTGCCTAAGTGTTACATTTTAATAGGTAAAAGGGTAATAATTACCTACCATTACCTTACCTGAAAGGTAAGTTTTCTCTTTCTAATTTCGGTGGCAATTTTTATTATTTAAATATTGTATAATATTGCCACGAAGCATCATTTAATATTCGAGTGTAGTAACCTGAAATATAATTTAATATTTTATGATAATATACCTATTTAATATAAATTTCCCACCGAAATTAGGTACAGAAAAATAAGTCGAAAATTACCCAAAAGTGACTAGGCACTGTAAAGTTACATTGAATAAATAATAAATGAATAACGCACACACTCAAAGCCCCGTACTAGGAAAACCCTGTATCGCGGGTGCCATGGACACACAAATCGACCACCGCAAATTACAATCGAACTCACTAGAGAAATGAATGTAGGCCATACAAATATTTCTCCCAGCCCGGGAATCAAACCCAGGACCTCTGCATGGCAGACCGGCGTGGTAACAGTTCGGCCACAGAGGCAATTAAATAGAAATACCCACGTACGTAGAAAATCTACACAGTGACAATTGATCAATTAGCATTCAATTTAGCGAAAGCAACGAAAGGGCGGAGCGCCTTTATCGCGCGCCGCTCCGTCACAACATTGGGGTGCCTTTGCTTGACCTTGGAACATATTGACTGGTCTGGGTGTTTTCTTCTATTGGTGGAAAATGCGTTACACATTTATACCTATTATACCTACTGCTTAGTAGATACTTAACTAAGTCGTTTTATTAAGATCCGAATATTTTCTTCATTTTGCTGAGTGAGGTATTTAATTTTCGCTGTTTTAGTAACCTGTTTTAATAAAACAATGGACCCGATTTTCTGTTGTGACGGTCAGTGTTCTACACTCCTTATCGTAAGTGACGTACCTAATCGACATTTTTTTAACAAAATTGAATTCAAAACATACCGCAATCAGCGAAACTAGACCTTTATAATACCCTTATAATCTGTTTTATTTCGCATTCTATAAAGATGCCAATATCTCGAATTTCCCAAAATGCAAATGCGTTAGTACGACAAGGATAGTGTTGGTTCTTATCCGCAATGTAAAGACAATTACGGCAGGATTTGGCCGATCGTGCTTTCTGTACATACATTTACGTCGATCTTCGTCCCCCGCGGATCCAGGCCTTCGCCGTCGCTACCCGCTTGATTACGGAGCGCGCGCGGAGTGCGAGGCACTGACTGGCGGCTGCGAACTCAGACCGGCTACGCCGCCAGTAAGGTCGCAAGCGTGCAATCAGCCTCTCGCGTGTTCGACGTTCGAATCTCAACAACAAAACCACTTTTTTTTGGCGCGGAATTCATAGCGATGGCAGCCACAGAAGAATTGAGCGACATCCTCTCCAGGAGACAAGAAATCAATGATAAGCTGGAAGAAGGTCTGGAAATCAAACCAAAATACAAATTCGTGAACGTTTACACGGAATTTCACGAGTTCTCCAGGAAGGAAATAAAACAATATGAGCAGACCTTCAACAAGTAAGTAGTTTTATTTATCGTGTCGTTGCAGACTTGGGTTTGCTAAAACTTGACGTGGTCATTTTGTTTAGTGTCTATCTGAAACACTATATTCAAATTGGGGACAATTACATCGTGGATATATAAAAACTATATTTAACAGACCAATGCATCAAGTTACCATGTTAAAATGTTCATCAAGTTTACTACAGTTAAGTGTAACTGCGTGTATTTCCTAGGTAACCAAAATGCTAGTATAGGGTAGCGGTAGAGTGTACTCAAAGGGCTCTTCAGTTTGTTTTGAAAGATAAGATAGGTTGATACGGTTAGTTACACTAAGTAATAAAACGACTTTTTTTATTAACTTCCTCTTTTAATTTGTAAGTACAAAATTTAAACTGAGTAGCAAACTGATGAGGGTATATAGGTAAATGAATTAATACGTGTCAACCGCCGATTAATTAGGTAAATGTAATTAAACGCAATTTAGTAACAAAATGACAACATCGCAGAATCGTCGTGGGAGAACAAATGAATAGAACCACGCCATGTTTACCACGATAGAATAATTCGCATCATAACCACTTTCATTGAATATCCAATAGGCTAGTTGAGAGGAATTCCCACGATATGTTTTCAGGTTTTTGCTGTTTCATGACTTCTGTAGACTTCACATTCTGTAACACTCAAAAAAGTTAAATAAAACTTTAAAATTTAAATGAATGTGCAAAGTAGTTTTGCACCTTTAACAGATCAAAAATATTTTTTCTTATCGGGGGAAGAGCTAGCGTAATATGGACAATAGCGCCGGGGATCGCAAACATTTCGTTCTTTCATTTTTGTAGTTTTTTTTAAATAAAATTAGCGCGAATTATTTGACTACTAAAGCGCCAAAAAATATTCTGATCGATGTGCAAACCCTGGACGGATTGATGTAGAAAAAATAATCAATTTTGCAACAGGACTTAGTTTTGCTCAAAGTGACGTTTTAGTACTTTTTACCTTTTCACTGACCATGTGTATCGAAAACAATTGGTATACTTTGTGAAATTATAAATTCACATTTGTACCGATTATTTTGTCCCCGGAAAAATATCTACATAATATTGAGGCGTGCACTAGCGTGTTGTAATATATTAATTGTACCCTTTTTTAAATCATATTAAGAAATTTGACAGACAGTCTGGGAGACCCAAGGGCTGGTAGCTACCACGTCCAGCTTATTAGAATAGCTATACAAATGGTGACCGCTGCTAGTTTTGGGCATTTTGGGCACCTTGCCACAGAGACCCAATTTAATTCATTTATTTTTCTGGTATATAGCTTTAGTTTTGAGTTTTTATTGTATTTTTATACCTTGTTTCTATAATACACTAAATATGTAAACAATCTAAATTATGCGAAGAACGCATATTGTTTTTCGTAACTAGGTTTTTCTGATTGTATGGTAATCATAAAATATCTGACACAAGTAACAGCTATTATTTACATTATACAATATCAAACCACATTATCGGAGAATATTTCTTTGTAATTTCGCTACGAGTAACACAAAAATTACGTGACTGTACAATACTACGAATGGGGTTACGTCTAAGGGTTATGTAAACAATGACTAAACCCTTCAAACGGGTTCAGTAAGCAAACCAACAATCGCATTTGGAACACTAAACAACCCGCATAACTGAAAATGAAAATCAACACGTCTGACCTAAAAATAATATACCGCCATGAGACCAGCATACAAAACATTCCGCATAATAGAAATGAAAAATAAACAATATCTATTAATGTTTATCAATTGTGTGATTGAAACAAATTGAAACAACAATAATTCTAACTAAACATACGATGATAGTCATAATCATAACATGAATGATTCAATATAACTAATAAGAGATAGAACATCAATTTCCTAAAAGATACAATCAATACGGAAATTAATCATTCTGTTTAACCCCGCAGGTGATTTAGCCATTATGTCGCCAAGTTTACGCATCACAATTAGTCATCTTTGTGAAGTGTAAGTTAAAGGTGTCAGCAGTCAGCACTGATTCATAGCCTTGTGTGTGATGTGACCGGTTTCCATTCATTAAATTTATAACCGTGCCATATTACGTGTATAAGTATTTATTTTTCCGATATCAATTTCCGGTATGTTATGGTCATAATAATCTTAGATACGCATTATTTGTTGTTGGGAAACAGTATTACCTATTAATGTTGACAGGGCTTTTATACGACAAAGATGTGTGAGAGCAAGACCGGCCGTGTAAGCCTTTGTTTCGAAAACTTGGAATTATGTTTCTCCCTTGTATGTAAGTGCATACATTATACAATGTATTACGTAATATGTTAACTTCATTTCGCAGCCTCAATAGTAAAGTGACTGATACAGATCTTTTTTCATATCAAATGAGTACGATTTAGTTATAATTGGTAAAAACCAAATGGCACATTTGGCTGGTGATATGTAAATTGGTGACTGTTGAAGGCAATAAAAACTGTTTAAACCCAATGTAAGATCTGCTGACTAGATCCGCACCAGTGAGACAACAGACGCCGGTTCGTCTCCAATTCAAACTCCAAAGTTTAGTAGCAGTAGAACTCCTTGTGAAAGAGTTCGTCAAAGGCACTGCCGATTTTCTGCCGCCAAGCCGTAATGTGAGGATTACTGCGTTCCGGTTACAGGCACATGGGACTTATCATTTGAACTTATGTCCCAGGGTGACGGGCGCAATAGCAGTGCCCCTCAGATCTTTATGATTTAAAGCTCTGAGTGGCACTGCAACTGTTATTGACAGGCGTGCCGTTACCACCAGGCCCACGACTTGTTTGTCTCGCCAGTTGGTATAAAAAATCTGATCGAAGAAATTTTTCTTTGTTTTTTGTTCGACCTTTGTGTCAATGATAATACGTAGGTAGATTATATTTTAAATTTGACTAACACAATATTTTACGAAAAACCATCATGGGACATAAGTATGCGAATATTGTGAAAATTTTTATGTATAATGTGATATGTATTAAATAAGAAAATCGGCTTCATTATTTATATATAAATATATACAAAGGAAGTACTTATGTAATAAGCTATTTATAATGAGTATAATATTGCATCACAGAAATGCCTAAATGTGTGGAACAGCCGTAAACATCACAACAAGTATTCTACTTATATCCTATTTAACGCAATAAATATATTTGACATTATGAATTTTAAGGTGTACAGAAATATACATAGTCTGTTCGAAAAAAACGTTTCAGATGTAAATCGCCTATATTGTTTTCTCGAACACAAAGCAGTCAGCCGTGACCATGGGACTTGTAAAGGGCCCGAAACCAGCCGAAACATTGGTTTCATTGAAACAACGAATACACGCGAATTGGAGCCGAAAAAATAGTTTCATTACCTATGTGGAACAATCGCGAAACCCTAAAAACTCGATAGTCATTTGATACATTCGTATTCTCCTTTTAAAACCAAGAAAATTAAAAAAAATATTTCAAAACAATTGAAAGAAAAACTGACCTTTATAAAATCTGATTCGGAAATTAAAGAAACATTCCAGAAACTTTATTTTACCCATTGATCTTTACCATGTCGAATTTCCAACCAACAAATTGTTTTTACGGAACAACAAATGGTTAAATTCATTAACCGTGGCTTAGAGATTTTAAATATTTTGCCAACAACGTTAACGATTGAAAAGTATTTTTGATAAGAAATTATTCGTCCCTTATTGAACAATTAGTCTCAGTGCCAAGAGGTCTGAGGTCTAAATCAACACACGGGGTATCAGATTGATCAATATGCGTTTGGCAGGAAGTACAGATTGAAGTGAACGGGGGACGCGAGAAAATCAGTGCCCGCTGCAGCATGAGTCGTCCGACCTTTTAATTTATAACCTACCTACTCAAATCGTTCAGCATGTATACAGTCAAGTATTGCATTTCGTTTTGCCAAGAAAATCTTTCGTAAAATCGTTACCATATCGGTCTTATCTTTAGATTTTGGGTAACGATTTCTCATTAAGTGACATACATGTTTTTATTCACAAATCCATTATCACAACTGTCATTGACTGACAAAGACGCGATAAAAAAGACGTAAATAACCAAAAACTTTGTAAAGTTGATCGTGTAGACAACCGACAAGGCTGATTTTTTAATCTTTTAGGTTTTAAGATATCACACGTAACAAAGATTGAATTTGAGCTCATCGGGATCATTGTTTCCCTCTTTAATATACTTTTATTACATTTCATTATTAAAATGAATAATACGGTCAAGTATTTATGGTACCTATGTTAATTTAATGAGTTAACTTTTTTTATAATATCAAGTGACGGGACGAACAAGTCGTGCGCCTGATGGTAAGTTACACGCCTGTTCATGACAGTTGCAGTGCCACTCAGAGCTTTAAATCGCAAAGATTTGACGGTCACTGCCACTGCGCCCATCACTCTGAGACATAAGTTGACAAGTCCCATGTGCCTGTAATTTCACCAGCACCCTTACCCTCTAAACCGGAACGCTAACAATACTGCTTGGCGGCAGAAATAGGTTAGGTGGCAGTACTTCCCTGGACGACTCTTTCATAAGGAGCTCTACTGCTGCTAAAATGGAATAATCAAGTCTAAATGATGTTGATGAATGATGTGAATAGATACACTATTGATTTTGATAGACTATCGTATAATTACCCATTTCCCGGTTATAAGGCAATGTGTTTTCATTTTCAAGAAATTTTGCAATAAGTAGGTACACCGTTAAATTCGTGTAATATCATTTTAATTCCAAATGATGATTGCCAGTATCATTTCCTTAGACCATTGCACAAAGCATCCTAAGGACGTGTTGTAATTTGGTGCATTATTTTTTGCATTCACGTGTGTTGAAGCAATACGTACTTATATATCGAGTTGTGTTACGATACACATACGTGTGACACTGTATGTGAACGAGTTGTAATTCGGCGCATTTGCGTTCACCAATAATTTAATGTGTGTTGAGGAACG